AAACGTATACGCTTACAGTTAGAAGTCACCTAAGTGGTGGTTTATGTCACGTTAATCCTAGTGCGAAATTTGTGTCAAAGCGAGTCCACTGAAGTTTTAATGAATCTTTCCTTGAGATTTTTGGGTTTCAACCCTCCGGCTTACTTTCTCTCACATGAAATGAAATGCTCCCTAAACTTTGATGCATCCCAATGCTAGACCTTAAGGTATAGCTCGAACCTGGCACCGCTGGATTGCTACCCAGCCACATGACTGAAGTTTTAAGAAGATCGTTCACATAGGAAATTTCCCTCTCTTGCTCTGATTATGCGGACCATATTTTCCCAATTACCTGTACCTCCCCCGGGTTCTCTGCTCCAGCGTTGAGAGTTTTCATATGCACATTAAAAACGCGTCCTGGCAGCCAGTGCTGCGATTCAAGGGCATCTATCACATTCCATTATTCATTTTTCCTTCGCTGAATTGTGTTTTCTCTCTTTCCTGCTTTCTCATATATCATTCCGACGAAAGCAGCCATAGATCTGTTGGCTTGCAAAATACCTTCCTTATTTCTAATTTCTTCTATTTGCAGTTTGAACGCTATAGCTAACCACGGTCTACTTCGTTTAGGTCAGCGAAATAAAAGTTGTTGATAATATCTTTCAACTGCTCTCGACATACACCTTGTTGAAACTTTTTATTTATATTTTCTCGTATTTTTAGTATTTAGTTATATTTATTGTATAAAAATGATCCGACCTCACCTGATTCCAGACTAAAAATATCCGTCCCTTTAGAGTTCGCCTGGCTTCCCCTTCCCGTTGATTCTCTCGACTTAGCAGCAGGCACCGTTAGGGCCGGCGCAGTCCGTTAGTGTTTCTTAACGGGCGTTGTCATTATGTTTGCGTGTAGTGGGATCACACATTGGTTGGTGGTGGTGGGGGGGGAATAGCTCCTCCGTCGAGTTTTGGGACTTTCTATAACATACTGATCTGCATGCATATGGTGCTGTGTTTGACCTTCAAATTGCAAGTTACAGAACTGATGCTGATGGCTGGATAGCAGTGGTGTTTGGCTAAGAGTGTTGACGAGGTGGGCGTGAGAAACAGTGGGTAGTTTGATTTACGATTTCGGGGCAATGAGGATCGACTCTGTTCTCTTTCTCCAGGAGATCCATCATGGGTGATGATAAATGGCTCTATTGGAAATATGAAGTCATATGTGGGATGGGCTCTCAGGTCGTCGTTTAAAAGTTTCATGAGTCCTTTGACTCAAAGCTGTGCTACAGAACTTCTCAACTCGGTCATTTTGCTAAGTGGGCTGTCTTTTTGGATGTCCGCCAGCTTTCTTTCTTTCTTTCTATCGTTTATCTGGGCTGTTGGGGATAAAATTTATTTAACTTCTTCAGTTCAAGGAAAAGAGTTAAAAGTGGCTTTGGCTTCGTAATATCTCATCAGAAATAAGCTACACCAGTTGACAAACTACGGAAATCTCGGAATTGAAAAGGATATACCCCGCAATTGCAATTGACCATGTTAATGCATGTGTATGTCATCATAAATTTCAACCGAACCAATGGCGTGCATATGCGATATATATATATTTCGCTGATATGTCCAGTTTCTCATGATGGTCCCCCACTCTCCGTCTCCTTCGTCCTCTTGTTTATATAACAGACCAGAATGCAGAGGCCTTGGTGCATTTTACAACTTTAAAAACTGAAATATTCTAGATATAGCACTTGCCACGGAGGCGTAACTTCTGAGACTGAGAGGTTGCCAATGATGGGCAATATTTTGACGGCTAACCTGGTTCTCCGTAAAGATGCTGGTTCATAAAAAATGCGGGGCAAGACAAGCTTCTCCCGGGACCCCAAGAGACCCCATTCCCTTGGCGTTTTTTTCTTCCTCCCAATAGTTAGTTAGTTACCTGGATGTGGTAATCTTGGGGAAATTTAGGATGAGAAAGAAGGATTTGAGGGGTTTATCCATATCAACTTTGAATTAAATCTCCGTGATTCTCGGCAGCATAGTTCTCTGGGCCAGTGACGCACCTAGACTTGTGAACATAACTAACTACATCAGAGTCTTTACAAGTTGACGTCATTTTCTTTGGTAGAGTTAGTAACGGTAGTTACTAGGACAATCAGAATCAGATGGAGAGGGCATCTTGTCAAACTTGCAGACAGTATTCGAGTACGCGGGTTGTTTCAGGTGTGCAAAGTAGAAGAAAGAGAAATGAGAGGGAACCTCTTCTTTATATATTCATAAATTTATGTATCCACATGGCGACAACCAGAGCCGGATATCGAAACTTGGGGTGAGTTAGCTATGGGTATGATTATATATACCCTACCCTGCTTGTGGCTCAAACAGCTTCAATAATGCCACAACCATTAGAACAATACAATGTGACCGCTGCGTTGCCAAGTTCCTGTGCTGCTTTTTTCAGTTCCAGATGTGAGGCTGGAAAATGCATGAAGAAAGTAAGATTTGATCATGCTGATAGGGATGGGCGCGGGAGTTACCTGAAAGAGACGGAGATATATCCTTAGAATTTAGTAGACTGGCACTTGGGATCTTCCAGTTTATTATTATTATTATTATTATTATTATTATTATTATTATTATTATTATTATTATTATTATTATTATAATTATTAAAAAATTTAGGTGTAGTTTGTTACGAATGTATATAGGTAACCACAGCAATAGTGACGAGGCAGGGTTCATTATTATTCAACAGCAGTGGGAGTTTTGTATTTGTTCCTCTCCATCCAGAAGCCCCTATTCCATGATAAGGAGGATATATTGCAGCAAGCAAGTTCACATGAACTTGTTCATAGTGAACATCAAGATTAACTTTTCAAGATTGTAAAACAAGTCAATGCAGAGCTACAAGCTAATAGTCATATAGTTATATGTTGGTTCTGGCTCCTATTGCTCAATGCCTTTCTCTCATTGTCTATTGGTCCGGGATCTTTTCCACCAGGTTTTGTTATTTGTCTACGCCATGTAAATTGTGTTTATTGTGTCAAATAATTAAAATATGACCAGGTGTGTCCGTTGAGCACTTGGACCACCCGCCTTGACTGGACAAGCTCTACGGAGTAAACCTGAATCATAGTTAACCAACCCCGTGCGGACCGTACCTTGGCATTTTAAGCCATGACTGGGGCCAGCTGGGAAATATAGGCTTGCAGTGGCTTTTCCAAAGAGCGAACATTTCAACGACTTGAGGGCATGGCTACTTCAAGAGAAAAGCTGTGGGCGTAATGAGGCAAACGACACAACTTGCAGACTGGGTGTAGTTGGATATTTTGGTGGTCGTGACCCATAAGGGGATATGAACCGGAGATTGAAAGCGCTCTTGCAACTATCATAGAGAGGTCTCAGCTAATTATGCTGTTGAGAGGATGTAGAGCTGTGTGCCAGATCAAAAGAGCCGTGGGGATTTTTGTTGCTGTAGGACAAGGAGAAATGGAGCAGAACATGATGAACATCAAGATGCTGGTAACTTGGGCACCAGCATGGTTTTTTATTACTAAGGGGCCGCGATGAATAATTGGGAAAATGGTTTCTTCAGCTGCTACGATTCCTTACAGCCCGAAAGATGTAACATCTCCCGTCACCATACGGTTTACGTAAGGTGAGAAGCCCGGAAACGGCTGGAGGGTAGGTCATGTCAGGTGGGTTGGTGGATGGATTGGATATTTGAATGTCTAACTATTTCTCAGAAACTGGAGGAGGGTTTAGAGTGAGGAAAAACATAATTGAACGAAGGAATCGGATGATCAATGACACAGAGGCATAGCATAGGTAGGGATTGCAGCAGCGCGATGCAGAGAGAATGCTCTTATTGAAGACAAAGGATGGGGGTATCTTTCTCAATGAAAGGGAATTGAAATTGACATAGATATAGAGATACATGCAGGATCAGTTAGTTTTCTAACAACGGATGGCTAGTTCTGTTAATTGAATAAATACCATGTTATTCTTAATTAGCTTAACCCTGTGTGTGTGTGTGTGTGTGTGTGTGTTTGCAGCATCTCAAGGTTACAGTACCTGGATATTTGCTCCAGAAATTAGGGAGAATAACGAGAGGAGAACAATAAAAATAGCACAGAACATGCCCTCATTTTTGGGACCATAACTAAATGCTGCTTCCCTTTAATTGTGATCAAAATTTTTTTCCTTCTCTAAATTCCATCAAAATTTCTACATGAATTTCTAGTTTATTAATACCCACTGCGGACATTCGGCAAGCCCAGACAAAAGTCCCCTCTGTGTGCCTCGCCCTAAATAGCTTAACCGGGGAAGCAGAAGTAAGACTTTTTCGCGGTTCTTCCACACTCAAACATTATTACCAGCTTTTCTGCCCCCTCTATTTTGTGGAAAAAATAAAAATAAATAAAAATAAAAAAATAAAAAAATAAAAATAAAAAAAAATCAGAGCATTACCTTATTTTCTTTTTGCCTTCCTCCCTCTCCCTCGCTCGTTGTCAACCCTTTCTCCTCTCTCTTCTCCTCCCCTTTTTGCTCTTTGAGACCCCTCACACAACACTCCCCTCCCTCCTACATGCAAGTACATACCCAGGTAACTTAACTAGTTACCGATCTATATCCCACTCAGCACCTCCGAAAATAAGCCTGAAAAATAAAATAAATCCAAAAAAATATATCCTGAAGCCACTCCCATCTCTAGCCCGTGTTTCACTGTCCTCGAAACTTGCTGTTGTAACTGCTACCTGTCTGTGGCTTACTGTGTGTGTGTGTGTGTGTGTGTTGTCTCTCCCTCTCTGTTCTACTGTTCTACTGTTATATGTGTTGTGTGTTGTTGTGGTTGGAGGTCTGGCTTCCCGCCTGTGGTGCTTGTCCCGAATCTCTCCCGACTGGTTAAATAAACAGCACCTCAATCAATTTTTTTTCTCCCTAACATCCCGCACCCAACCCCAATCTCAGGTCGCTTCACCCACTCCAGCAACCCCAAGGCAACAACAACAACATCACCGCCATCCACAGTCACAACGACGGTATCCGAAGTATTCTACGTTCCTTTAATTCGCCGTACGTTCTGTCTCGACGTCGCTTTTCTTGCTCTACTCGCTGCTCGCCGTCGTTCTCGTTACCATCCGCCTTCGTCTGGAAGTTTCCGTCGCGTGGAAGCAGAAATTAAAAAGAAAAAAAAAAAAACCCTCTTTGGTGGGCTGGCTTGGGAACTTGGTGAATACAAGGATATTATCAAAAGAGAGAAAGAAAAAAAAAGAAAAAAAGAAATACGTCGTTCCTGTTCTTTTGCTTAATCGTACTTCCTTTCGCTTCGTTCCACCAAAATAAACGAAACGGAGAGGTTATTAGGAGAGAATACCACGACTTGTTTGTTCGTAAGATTTTTTCTTCTTCTTTCTTTCTTGTGCTCAGCACAAGCATCAACGACCTTCTTTTGGTACTCTGTCTTCTCAGTCTTTACGGTTGCTTCCTTGATTGCTATTTAAGGGAACCAAAGGTACGTGTGCTCGATATTTTTGTCCTCAAATATCTATCAAATCGCCTCCCTTCACCATCCACGAACACATACGAAATTGAAAACAGAACTATCCTCTGGTGATCTCTGTTACCCTGTCCAGCCTTTTCCTTGTCTATTCTGGAATCACTATTTCAAATCTTCTCTCCTTCTGTTTGACTTGGGCTGTGTCTTCTGATTTACTCTCTGTGTGTGATTCTATGTGGGTGGAGGGTGTGAGTAGAGAGGCTTACAACTTCACACACCAAACCTAAGCTCGTTGTTTCGGATCACGTCCGGCTGTTCTTCCCAATCTATTTTGTGCGGCCTAAATAAAACCCTTACGGGAAGCCTACTTGTTGAGCTGTTCGCTGATGTCACCTCTCTCTTAGGTCTCTCTTTCGTTGTGAAACCCTGGCTTCTTGAAACATTCTCCCCGCAGGGAGTCTCGTTGAGCCCTCCCTTTCCCACCTTCCCGTGCCTCACCTGTCCTGGACACGATTTCGTTTTCTCGCCACAGGGAGTCGACTGGCCGTCGGTGTTCCGGGGTTTAGAGATAACAGTTGTTGGTGGGGCAGCCTGAGGGTGGAGGTTGTTCGTTTTCCGCCAGAGCGGAAGTTGGAGGTGTATTGTTGAACCCGTCGACCTCGCGAATCCTTCCCGTTCCATAAATCTATATAAAAACCCGTGCCACTTTGCAATCCAGCCTTGTGGTGAGCAACGTGAAGTTTTGAGAGAAAAGAAATTCTAATATGTCGGCCTCCACGAGTAAACCTGGGTTGGAAATGCCCGCGTTTTCCTACGCCCAAGCTGCGAAGGGGTTTCCTACGCCACCTACCGTGCAGAACGCTGCTGAGAAGCAAAATAAGGCAGGAACCACATCGTCAGATCCGAGTGGCCAGAGGACAACTGCTGGGTCGGTAGATGGGGATGGGTCAAATCGAACTGTGGCCTCCTCAACGGACATGGAGTCTTCATCTATTGCTACAGACCATACTGATGCTACGGACAAATCGCAAACGTTTTCTGAGCGTAACTCAGATTCGACTGTTATAGCGCCTGTCGCTAGTCAGCCTTCTAAGAATGCAGCTTCTGGAATTTCGTCTCCCAGTGCGAGAACCGCGTCCACCTCAACGTTTCCTAAAGATGATGAAATCTCGGGCACCCTGAATGGCTCATCTGATTCTGCCTGGGACAAGCAGTCACAATCTTCTGGAGCTGTCGAAAAGTCGAGTGAAACTGCAACTGCGGATTCGAGCAAGGCAACATCGAAGGAAAATGGATGGGAAAAGCATACTACGGCTGTGAAAGAATTAAGGGCAGCTCCTATTCCTACAGTCAATGTCTGGCAACAGAGGAGAGAAGCGCAAGAGGCCAAGGCCAAAGCAAGCGCCGCATTAAAGTGTCCCATCACTCCGCCTTTGGCCAAGCCTGCCGCGGCGAAATCCTCGCCTCTTGGTGAGAATCGTTTGGAGAATTTAAAGGGTGGATCTCGAAGAAGGGCGAGCGGCATTCCTGAAACTGCATCAGATGCTGCTGGATCAAGGAAAAAGCCAAATGACGGCGGTAAGGGAAAGGAAGAAGGTAAGGATCAACAAGCTTCAACCCCTATGTTGTCTTCGTCTGACACTTCACCCCGCATAGGCTCCAGAAAAACTGGCGTGCGATCAAGTAAACCAACAGATATTGACAATGAAAAAGCAGTGGAGACCCTCTCACCTGTAGCAGATGCGTCCTCGTGGCCTACCCCGCAGCTCGCACAAGGCGAAGAATTCCGCAAGGCCCACGAAAAGATCGACAAGACTGAGAAATCTGAGAAGGAAAAGACCCCTACAGCTGGATCCCGTGGGAAAGAGAAGTGGATGCCGGTTCCATATGTCCCTTCAGCCGTCTTCAATACTCCCCTTCCCCCTGCTGCACGAAGAGGTGGAAGACCCGCAAGAGGTGGAAGGGAACCGGGCATCCGTGGCGGAGCCAATACTTCTAACCCTGTATCTGGTGGAGATCGACCCGCGCCTACATCTGGTGCCATTGCTGGCGGATCCAAACATCCTGGCCAAACTGATAGGGGCCGTAGTGATCCTCGTATTGTCTCTGACACGTCTGGCTCCCCTCAAAACACAAGATCGGGCAGCGCAAATGCAACTGCACCCTTGGAGGATAAAAAAACCTTACAAACCATTTTGCCTGATCTAACTGGTAATGATGCGAAAAATGCAAAGGGTGGTGAGGAGCCCCAGTCAACTGCTGGCAGGGAAACTCAAAATTCCCTTTATTCCTCGGTCGATACAGCTCCACGGCAACGACAAAATTCTAAGAATTTTGGTAGGGCACAAGACTTTGCCAATGTGTCATCTCATCGGGGCTCTGAGCATCCTGGGAGACTTTCTGTTCAGGGAGATTCTCACGCTGGCCCACGGTTTAGCTCAAGCCATGAGCGGCGTTTTGATAGTGGTCCTAGATCTGCAGATTTTTTTAAGGAAGTTCCTCCTTTCCACCCGAGAGATCGAGATTACACACCTCGGGAACGTGGCGAATACCATCGCGAGCGTGAATATGGTAGGGAGCGTGGTGAATCTCGGCACGAGAGAGGACGTGGAGGATTTAGGGGACGAGGTGGACACTCAAGTTATGGCGGAGCTCATAATTCGCAATATCATAGTGCCCCAATTCCGCAATCCCAGTTCCAGTCTTCAAAGCCATTCTCGCTTAACGAACGCAACCGACATCACCAGCAGGGATCTCAAAATGGCTCACAGCAGCATGGCTCGAATCGGGGTCTTAGTATGAGATCACCGTCTCTGCCATCGTCAGGAGTTTATGGTCCCACACCTTATGCCATCCAAACCGATATCAATGCGATATATGGATATGTACCACTGCACCAAGGTCCAATGACCGCTATCACGTACCAGCCATATATGGAGCATTTCTCCCTGATGAGCATGATCTCAATGCAACTGTAGGTCCCACCTCCCAACAACTCTGTTTTCGGTGCAACTAACAAGCTTTCCCTCCTCCTAGTGAGTATTATTTCTCGGTGGACAATCTTTGCAAAGATTTGTTCCTCCGGAAACACATGGACTCGCAAGGCTTCGTTCTATTAAGCTTTATTGCTGGGTTCAAGCGGATTAAGTCTCTCACGGAAGATATGGAGTTGCTTCGGGTTGTTTGTCGCCAACTGAAGAATGTGGAATATAGACCCGCGGAAGACGGCGCAGATCGTCTTCGCAAGCGAGATAAATGGGAGCAATGGATCATTGCAATGGAATCACGCGATCCTTCTGCCCAGAATGAAGGGCCACCCCCACTCCCCTTGTCATCTCAAGCTCACGATGGGATTAGTGATGGTTTGAATTTGAACTCGACGCACTTGGAGGGCCACACTGCGCCGTATGGCAACGGATCCCTGCATGAAATTTCCGGCAATATTATTGCCGCCCACTACCCGTTGTCGAATGGCGCTGTTTCCGACTCTCGCGTCCATCACACTGTCCTATCGTCCACTGCTCCCGAATTCTCCCCTTCCTATGTTCCTGTAATGGGTGCAATTGAAAATACGAATGTAGGAAAACCCATTGTTGATGAGAGCACTTTCCCAGACGAACAGATTGAGAACTTGGTAATTGTGGTGCGTAAGCCAGGGATTTCCAGCCCGGCGCAGTCACCTTTTCTAATTTCTTCGTCTCGTTCTTTCTCCAGCGGATCTGTTGACGGTGACAAAACAGCGGGTGGCACAGTGAGCGCAGAAAACCGAACATCTCTTTCGACCCGGGTGAACCAGACCAATATTGATAGGTAGAAACATTTCCCCTTTAGTTTACAAGGCTCTCAGTTAGAGTATTACTGACATTCAAGCAAGCCAAATTGATTTGCAGCCCCGCGGAAGATCACCTTCATTGTCCAAAATACCCGAGACAGTCAATACCAACATGCCCGCGTTCTGGGTCAAAGACAGAGATACCCCGATTGAATACCTCCCTACCGACCTCATCCATGAATCCTACAATATATTCCGAAAACAAACCCTCGAAAAACGCTCATCCCACATAACCAATGATGGGAACCTGGATATGGACGTTCTTTATCAATTCTGGTCTCATTTCTTGGTCCGCAATTTCAATTCAAAAATGTACAATGAATTCAAAAGTCTGGCGTTTGATGATTTACATTCGAAGAATTCGACTACGGGCCTCGACAGCATCGTCAGATTTTATGATGGAGTGCTTGCAAGCAATAGAGTGATGCCGGATGCCGTCGCGCGGGACCTGGTCGCACTTGTCGAATCTGAGTTGGTGCAGGCGAAACAAACGAGGCCTGCATTTCAAAAGCTTCGGTCTGCGTGGCGAAATGGCGCTTTCAACTTCAAATCCCGGAAACGGATTGATGGTATCATTTCGGAACGACTGAGAACGGAGCTGGAGAAGTGATGGCATTGAGTTTTTTTTTCTCCCTTTTGCCCTTCATTTACTTTTACCGTTTTCCTCTTTTTGTTTATTAATTTTTCCACTCCTCTGGGTGCGAATGTCTGTGTTTGAATGTTTTAAAATAAACTCTTTCGATTCCCACAAATTGCTTTCCCTACCCCTTTTGTTTCCAATACTTCTCTCTGGTACTCAACGAGTGTCATTGCCTGAGGTAAAGACCGCAAAAACCGATCTTCGAATACATTGCAGGAGGCCAACTCAGCTCTATTTCTTGCCCTCAGCTGTGCCGCGTGATGCAGTTAGATTTTAAAATTTTAGCCACCTGCTCCCTTCAATCACGCTTCCCCGCAATTCATTTTTCTTGTTCATGTTCTTGCCATGCATTGCTGAATGTGCTTTCCACCACCAGATCTATTTTTTTTAAACTTCTGTTGCAAGATTTCTACCTATGCTTCCACACATCACTACCGTAAGGCACAGATTCCTCCCCTAATGACCGTATAGACCCTTACACCTCATTCTTTATTTCTGTATGTGTTTTCATAAAAAAGCGAATTTTTTTCCATTTTTATTTTGGTTTGCGGAGCTAACAGGATGGTAGGCGAGGGTTGAATTAAAAAAAGAAAAAAAAAAGAAACAGAAGAGGAAAGGCAAGAGAAAAGGCAACCCGGTCAAGAGAAAATTTTACAATTTTGTAGGGAATTGAGTGACAGAAATTTTGAGGACTCGGGAAGGATTCATGGGGTTGTTCGGTTTATTCTTTCGCCTCTCCATCAAGTCTACAAAAATTTCAATCAATCCTTCACTATCCCCCACTCTGGTATATGTTTAGTTCTTGCTTTTTTTTTTTTTTTTTCAACCTTTCCCCATTTTTGTTTCTACTGTTTTCATCAAAAGAACGAACACACTTGTTTACTTTTCCTACTTATTTTGCATAGCGGGATTTGATATTCTACTGGTTTATATCCTTTCCTTTTCGATACTCCTCATATTCTTTATCCCAACTCGAGCTTTCTGGTGCCTTTGAAAATGGGCAGAAAAGAAGCTCAAGCAAATGATCTTCTCTCATTTTCACTTGAATCAGAGACTGAGAAAGCTTTTCTCCACTTGAATAACCACATCGAAGGCATTGTTTTCTATGTTTTCATGTTTTCTTTCATCCTGGCTAATTTTCCCTCGTTCTCTCCACGTTTTGACATCTATGTTTTTTAATGTCCCTTTTCGTTGCATTTTGTGCAATACTTCACCTTTCTCAACGAAAGGAAGCAAAATAACATCGTCCGGAGAGTATCAGCTTCATAATACAAACCCACAGATGTGTACACCTCATCTTGTTATTTTTTCTCTTTTCTTTTAATGTTTCTTTTATTTTTTTTTATTTTATTTTAACAAAATCCTTCCTATTACAATAAAACAAGTTTCCTTTTTTGCCCCTGTGGTGTCTCTCCACCAATGCGATTTATCTCTTCAGCCTGTGACTTATTTTGTTCCCCTGTCTTCACTTTTTAAATATTCCCCTTCTTCTGATTTCCTTTGATTCTACACGTTTTCCAAGAGGATTTAAAGACGCATTGCTAGTATTGGTACCCCTGTTTTTCCCTGATAAAATTCAAGATGTTTTTGGTTGTGGTTTTGTCTCCCAATCTCCCAATCCTATCTTGATTTTTTCACCTAGTCCCCCCTCTCATTCTAGAGTATTTTCTGGTAACATTCAGCAAATATAAAATAGCTTTTCGTGTGGTTGCTTTTCCGCATCCTTCCCTTCTACTACCCATGGAATCAAGATTTCCTGTCCGAAAATAAATGCCAAGCTTTTGCTGTTAAAGCTAGCCTTATTTCTAACTAGCTCAAGATTGGCCCAAGGATTCTCGGTGTTTTGTTTCTCCGCCATTAAGCATCATTTGGGCCGAAAACCAAATCTGCTAGAAGCATCAAAGAAAGACGTCGAGATACTTCCAAAGACTCTTCAGCTTACACCTCTCTTCAACCCGCTCTCCCCGCGTTTGCACATAGCCCACCGGATAATTATCAGCTGTACTCGGGCACAATGGAGGCAGCATCGCGGCGGATATTATCTAGTGGCGTGCGATTGCACCCGTCAAACCCACTCCTATCGAAAGCTCATTCCCGCTCCCTCATTCCCGCCACAACCGTCCTTTCCCACCACAGTCCTTCCTCTTCAGCCTCCTCATTGACATGTTCCAACTCATTCCGGCACTTTGCAAGCACCTCACGATCCCTGGCTGGGGAGAGTTCCTTCGCCGGTTTCCCCTCCAGCGTTCAAGGTGGGCCGACTTCCTACTTCTCGCAGCGTCAATCGCTGCCCATGAACACGGTGATTAGGTTCGTTCCTCAGCAGACCGCGTGGATTGTGGAGCGGATGGGCAAGTTTAATCGGATTCTGGAACCTGGATTGGCTATCCTGGTGCCGTTTTTGGATCGAATTGCATACGTGAAGAGTTTGAAGGAGGCGGCTATTGAGATTCCAAGCCAGAATGCGATTACGGCGGACAATGTCACGTTGGAATTGGATGGGGTGTTATATACGAGAGTTTTTGATGCATATAAGGCTAGGTGGGGTTTTTGTTGTCTCTCACGGTTTTCGTCTGGCCTTTGTCCTGCTGTTTAAAGCTGACTCTTTTGGCTTTCTGGCTTCTAGTTACGGTGTTGAAGATGCCGAATACGCCATCTCTCAGCTTGCTCAGACGACAATGCGTTCTGAAATCGGCCAGCTTACTTTAGACCATGTGCTAAAGGAACGCGCAACGCTTAATACGAACATTACACAAGCCATTAACGAGGCAGCGCAGGACTGGGGTGTTGTCTGTCTCCGATATGAAATCAGAGACATCCATGCTCCCGACGGGGTCGTTGCCGCTATGCACCGCCAAGTCACCGCGGAGCGATCCAAGAGGGCCGAGATCCTAGAATCCGAGGGACAGAGACAGAGTGCTATCAACATTGCGGAGGGTCGTAAGCAGTCCGTCATCCTTGCTTCAGAGGCACTTAGGAGCGAACAGATCAACATGGCAACCGGTGAGGCAGAGGCGATCATGCTCAAGGCTAATGCAACTGCGAGGGGAATCGAAGCTGTTGCCAAAGCCATTAAAGACGGCCAGGAGAATGCACAGGGTGCTGTTAGCTTGAGCGTTGCGGAGAAGTATGTCGAGGCATTCTCGAAGCTGGCGCGCGAGAGTACGGCCGTTGTCGTTCCCGGGAATGTTGGGGATATTGGTGGGATGATTGCTAGTGCCATGGCTGTCTATGGAAAGGTCAATGAGAGTCAGGCTAGGAGTATGGCTGCGAAGGCGATTGGTGTGCAAGGGTCGCATGATCAGAGTGGAGCGGGTGAAGAAGTTTCCGGGAGGCCGAGGGCGGGAGAGTTGACACCGCAAGAGTTTGGAGACGCTAGTTCTCCTGCTGCTGGCACAGGCCAGCAAAGGGGGCTTGCGGATAGCGTACTTGAGGGTTTTGATCAGACGAGCCGACGGAGGAAGCTATAATCATCTAACTCACCACAGAGTATGGCGGAGATGATGTGGTGACAGTAGCGGTGTATCACCACCCCACACTCTTCATTTGAATGTACTTTGGTCGATTTCACCTCTCCTTCTTTCTTTTCTTGCACCAAGTATTTCAGCCCTGTTTGCCATGATTTTCCGTTCTTCTTTTTGCCTACTTCTCCTTTCATCAGTTTGACCTAGAAGCGAAAGGGAAAGAAAGGCTCTCTACGCCACTCAGCATCTTGGAGGAGAAACTCTTAAAAGTTGCATTTTATATTTTCTGCGTTTGGATGTGTATAGGTTGATAACCATTATATGCGAGGGGCTTTTCGAGCTGAGGGTTATGTTCCAAGATTGGGATGTCAGCGGGGTGATAGGAGCTTACCACTGAGACTCGAAAAAATAAAGGGATGGAATAGGTAGGAATTTACAGAAATGTTTCGCATGCAAAAATAAACAAGAATATGACAGCAAATGTAATATTAATTATCATCAATGAAATAAGTATCTAAATCTATAAATAATGGGTCTTTATTGTCCGCCAGTTCGTAAACTGCAGCACACCAGTACTATTCTCCGTTCCAACCATAGAGAGATTCCTCCGGTGAGTAAGTAGTGCCTAACAGGCCCCTGATTTATCCCCACGCCAAATACGGAGCAAATCCCTGCTTGCAGCTGTTTGGGCCAACTCTGGCCTTCTGGTCCAACCCGCGAAACCCCAACGACGACCTTAATCTGTAACTAACCACCACACCTCCACCTCCACCACCTTCACCAACCGCAACGTTAAATAACACCAGCGCCAGGAACAGTGGTAGGACGAGCCCTTGGTCCTGCTTCGCTCTGCTCCCATCGCCTCATCCCTTTTACTCATTGTTCCCATCTCCTCGGGAATTGAAGTAAACTTAAAATAAGAACATAAAACTTCGTAGCTCGTCAAACACTTGCCTCCCGCCGCCGCCGCTGCCGCCGCCGCCACAACCAACTAACCTTCGACACTTCTTTCGTGCCTTTCCTACTCTTCTACTGGAGCTCTGAAATGCTCAATTCCTCAGGCGATATTATCATTCCATACCTTCCCACCCTGCATTCGAATCTGCGCTGATCCAACAACATTGCAACTCGCGGAAGGGTGAATATCAGGGCGACTGTGCGAGCTGGATAGATTATAAAGCCAGAGGAGAAATAAATAGGGCGGAGGGCTTGGAAAGGAGGTGACGGAAGAGGGAGAAGAGAGAAGACGAAGGAGACATGCATATTATCAAGCCAGTTTGGCTGACCCATGGAGGTAAGTGTTGATTATGCCTGCATCCTGTCTTGACGCCTGTGGGACGTATGATTTGTTAGTTCCTGACTTATGTGCTCCTCTGATTCTTTTCACAGGCGAACGGAAAGATTTTGAGGTCTACAGCTGCGACGTCTCGCCCGATGGAAAGAGACTTGTAACTGCGGCTGGAGGTGAGCGCTCACTTTTACGCTACATATCTCCTCCACTCCACCTCCCCACCACATGGCCTTTATTTGTGCCAACGAAGTTCCCACCGACACATTGTACTTTCAGATTATTGTATTCTCTCTAACTTGGGATGTGTAAACACTGGAATATATTCAGATGGACATGTTCGGATCTGGTCAACAGAGGCTATCTACAATGCTGCTGATCCGCTGTATGCGAACCAGCCACGCCAGCTGGCATCCATGAGTAATCATTCCGGTACCATCCATGCTGTGCGATTCTCTCCTAACGGCAGATATGTTGCTTCTGGTGCGGATGATAAGATTGTTTGCATATATGTGTTGGAATCCAACCCTCCGTCTCACGCATCGACATTTGGTAAGATGTCCTTCTCTAACCTCTCCTTGATATTTACTACTGCTGCTCATTTACGCAATAAAATTTGTGGATCTTCATTGCTTATCGTGCTAACGCATCGCTTCTTCTAGGAACCAATGAACCACCTCCGGTCGAGAACTGGCGGACCATACGTAGATTGATAGGCCACGATAACGATGTCCAAGATCTTGGCTGGTCCTATGATTCTTCTATCCTTGTGTCTGTTGGCTTGGACTCTAAGGTTGTGGTGTGGTCTGGCCATACGTTTGAGAAGCTGAAGACTATTTCAAACCATCAGAGTCACGTCAAGGGGATTACGTTTGACCCAGCGAACAAATATTTTGCTACGGCGGGTGATGATCGAACCGTGCGAATATTCCGATTCACTCCACCGGCCCCGAACTCTACCGCGCATGACCAGATGAACAACTTTGTTCTTGAACAAACCATATCCGCCCCCTTCGTCAACTCACCGTTGACAACTTACTTTCGGAGATGTTCTTGGTCGCCAGATGGCAACCATATTGCTGCCGCAAATGCTGTGAATGGTCCCGTCAGCTCCGTTGCAATCGTCAACCGTGGATCTTGGGATGGGGATATCAATTTAATTGGACATGAGGGACCTGTGGAGGTTTGCGCTTTCTCACCTAGACTATACGAATCACCGGGTTTGGGTAAGGTGTCTGCTGACAAGCACGGGCACCCAATGCATGCGCTTGTAACAGTCATTGCGTGCGCTGGGGCTGATAAATCCCTCAGCGTGTGGATCACAAGTAATCCACGTCCGGTCGTAGTTGCGCAGGAACTAGCTGCTAAAGCAATCTCAGATCTTTCCTGGTCTCCGGATGGGAAATGCTTATTTGCGACAGCCTTGGACGGCACGATCCTTTGTGTCCGATTTGAAAACGATGAATTGGGCAAGCCTATGCCCTTAGAAGAGAATGAGAAGTCCTTAACCAAGTTCGGCACGAATAGGAGAGGTGCCGGCATCGTTGAGTCTACAAATGGCCTGTTACTGGAGGAGAAAAGCAAGGCTGGTGAAATCAAGGGCGTCGAAGGCCGTATGGGAGCTCTGATGGGTGATGGCCATGCTTCTACTGACCAAGGCGTCAATGGGACCTCTGTGAATTTACCATCCAATGGAACCACACCTGCTGGAGCTTCCACACCTGTTGGTGGAGGTGCTGCCAGTGCTCAGAAGAGTCAACCCAATGGACCAGTGAATGGAAATAGTGGAGAACAAGATAAACGGGATCCATATATGGCCAAGTTAGAGAGACTCAAGCAGAGACCTACTTACACTAAGGATGGAAAGAAGCGCATTCAACCACTCCTTGTCTCCGGAGCGGGTGGTGCAGAGTCGTCTCTCCCGCAATCACGGTTGGTAACAAGCAGTCAAGGAGAGAAGCTTGAAGGTCCCAACTCAATCCTGGACCTTTCTAAACCATTCGATGGTCTTCCAAAAGGTGGTTTAGCAGCACTGTTGTTTGGGAATAAGCGCAAGTTTGCGCAGATCGAGGGTGACGAGGAGGGGACTGTTGAGAAGAGGGTAGCTGCGGCTTCTGAAAATGGAGCTATACCCATTCTCGCGAATTCACCAGAGGGTCTCCGGCCTGCGCAGCCAGGAGATTCACGAGGTGGTCCTCAATCTACACCCGAATTTATAAGACCTGCTGTGGTTAATCCTTGTATGGCCATTAGCCAATTGCGGCTAGCCGTGCCAAAGATCAGAAGCCATATTTTGCAGGCGATAGATACGTCGGGGAACCCTTCTGCTGCTTCAGATACACCATCAGGCGCAACGAACTCAGGAACCCCACCTAGGCCCAAGGCGGATATCGTTTTCGAAGCTCGGAATCCTCCTGCGTCTTCTGGTCGGCATGTTGATCGAGAACCTGTCCGAATTACCCTTACGCGTGGCGATCAGCCGCTGTGGCAGGATTTTATACCTAAAACAGTGCTTCTCGTTACGGGTAATCGAAAACTGTGGGCTGCAGCATCGGAAGACGGCTCTGTATATATCTGGACACCAGCTGGACGGCGGCTTCTCAACGCACTTGTCCTGGAAGCCCAGCCTGTGATTCTAGAGTGCAACGGACCTTGGGTCCTCTGCGTAAGCGCTGTGGGCATGTGCTATGTGTGGAACGTAAAAACTCTGTCCTCCCCACATCCACCTGTCTCCCTCGCTCCGATTTTAGATGTGGCCGCGCACACCCTGGCACTCAATGCTACCGTGGCTCCCGCAGTCAATTCCGCGCGATTAAATTCCGAAGGCCGTATAGTCGTCACGTTGTCCAATGGAGACGGATACAGCTACTCCCCCTCGTTATATTCCTGGCAACGGATGTCCGAGAGCTGGTGGGCTGTTGGTAGCCAGTACTGGAACACCAAAGATTCTTCCGTCGGGGATCTGCAATCCATTACAACCTCCTCTGTATCTTCTTCTGCCACTGCTGGTTCTGGTAACCGCCAAGATGGTGAAGCACAACCACCGGTCTCTGCAGGGGTCATCCCATTCCTCGAACGAAACACTACAAACGAAACGCTAGGGCGAGGTCGTGGTTTCTTCCTGCAGCGCTTGGTCAAGATGCTTCTATCCCGTGAAGGCTTTGAGGGCTTTGAGGCCAGCGTCTCTGTCGCCCATCTTGAAAATCGCGTAGCTGCTGCACTCTCTCTTGGCGCCAAGGAGGAGTTCCGCCTCTATCTTTCAATGTATGCTAAGCGCCTGGGGGCTGAGGGAGCGAAGATGAAGGCTGAGGAGTTGCTGGAGAGCCTCCTCGGTGGAATTTTTGAAGACGAGAAGAGTGATGTTGATGGGGATATGCGCGGTAGTGGAGAACCCACCAAGTCCAAGGAGTTATCGCAAACTCAGGGTGGAAGCACAGACTCCGGAACTGGTACTTGGGTTAACGGCTCTGATAAGCTTTGTGGATGGCCAAGGAGAACGCTGTTGAACGAGGTGGTGTTGGCTTTGGGTGGGTTTTTTTCCCCTTCCATTTTTGCATTCATATCTGTTGTTATTATCAATTTTACAAAATTCCTTCTTCACAATCCCCAAGACATAGCGCTCTTTCTTTCTTATGTTTCCCTCCCTCTGATAAGTTATCGTTCGTTCAAATTCATTGTTCAAACATTTGTCTTTTTACGCTGCTAACTTTTTGTAGGGAAACATCGAGACCTCCAACGTGTCACCGTTCCGTATGCCCAACTTCTGGGACTTCTCGATGGCGATCGGGATCAGGAGCAGGCTCAAGATCAGAGCCGGAATCGAGATGGGGAAGATGCAATGGTCACGTAATGTATTTGACTTACTCACTTTCTTTTCTTTTCTTTTTCCGTATTTACTTTTTATCTTTTTCATTGTTGATGCCTCTGACGCTTTCTTTTCCACATTGGAATTAGAAAAGCGGAATGTTTGTGTTTCCATTTATTTATTTTCTTGGGTGGTTTGCTTGCAACCAATTCTTTCGCATGCCATATATTTGGCAGGGATCAAAACCGGGAATGGGATGGAATGGAGGGCGATCGGGAAAGAAAGGTATACCATAATATATATACACCTTTGTCAGAACTTTTTTTCTTTTTTTTTTTTTTTTCTCTGTGTATTTTTATATCCTTTCTTTCCTGCGTCAGTGGACGGCTTTTATCGGCTGCGCCTTGTACATTTTATTATATCGCTAGCTTGCCCTTCGAGATTATCCTCTCAATTTTTTTGCTGCTAGTTTTCTAGAATTGATTGGGTTTGAAATTGGTTCTCGCTCTCTTCTTCCCTTTATTCTCGATTTCCCCTTTTTTTTTCTTTTTTTCTTTTTTTTTTTTTTTTTCTGTGCAATGTCAAGGGGGTGATGTTTTCTCTAACATTTCTCGGCAGTCTTTCTTTTAAACCCATCTAGTTCCGAATGTGGCCAGTCAAGCTATATTCCGGAAATTGATTCAGAACCGTTTTATACAGGAGCTAATTTTTTTTTCGTCTTCTTTTTGTTTCTTCTGATGATAGACTGATCAACCAGTCAAGCCTATCCAATTCTCCAAGTGCAAGTGACCTCCAGGAAAAGGCGTATAGGGCTTCTGATTTGCTCGTGGAATTTCCCTTAACAAACATAGTTTTGTCTCCTGGGTCGCTGAAAGTCTTTAAAGCTGACGACTTTGCCGCGCTCATTCGAAACAGATCAAAGGAACCCTGAGGTATCAGGAGGAATGTGTGTAACCCTTTTCATCCCTACGTTTTGTATCTTCAGCAGAGGTCACTTCGACGCTTCTAGCCTACACTTTTTCTATAATCTTCCGACTCTACCTTTATGATCCGCTGATACATTACATTACCCCTGACAGTACACACACCCCACATAGACCAGCCTTGGAAGAGAAAGAAAATCGCCTGACAGTCTATCCTCAGTCTCTCTGATGTCCACCCATCTTGCTTTGCCATATATAGATACCGTAATCCCATGGATGCCTCCGTTCAGCAATCAAGTCATTGTCTCAGCAGTTAATTACGCCTCTTTCTGAAGACAGGAACACCAACGATACTATTTGATATTGAAGATGACTATGTGCATCTTTTGTAGTATGGTCATTGGCATGTCTATTCTTACCAAAATGAAAATGTGGTTATATATGCAGTGCCACCAGCACATTTTCCCTCTTCGATAACTGATGTTCGATGCAGGAGAGGGTTCGTTTTGTTGTTGGGGGTGTTTGTGTTGGCTGGAGTTCATTGGGGGGTTGGGTGGTTCTGACTTGGGGCCTGGGGTGATGGTAGTGATGAGATGAGGGAGGACATGAGGGGTTGGAGATCAGGGGAGAGGGGATTAGAAAGCTCGGGAGGGTAAGATGGGGAGAATAAGAAAAAGGATTCAACGGGTAGACCAACTTGTACGAGACGCGCCGTTGATGGTGATTTGGTTCCAAGAGAGATGGACGGATCTATTGTTGCTCTAATTTCTAGTTGACCGATGCAGGAACGTGTTGACGCCAAAAAGTGGAGGTGATGATTCTTGTTGCTTGCGTTTGAATAGGAGGTGAAATTTGAAATTGACCTTGGGGTGGCATTCGGGTTGCGGACAAGACGGCAAGTTTGCAACCATTGGCCTGAGTGGCTCTCATTCTTCCTCTGTTCGTGTGCAATATGCGTGGTGTATTATTGTGTCCATGATTGGGGGATTTCAAGAAAGGTTGACAATTGTCATTAACCAGCTCTAAAGATGTGTTGCCTCTTGATATAAATTTTCTAATATTATAGCGTTACATGCCAACGGAGGATCCTCTGAGGTTATATACACTGGGTGCAGTTAAAAATTAATGGGTTTGACATAATGTATGGAGAGCATTTCTGATTTTTTTTGGAGAAATTCTGGTGAGGATGTTTCAAAACTGCTGAATTTTTGTTTTCTGATGCTGATCTGCATTTCATCAAGCCATTTCAATTCAACTGGAAGAGTGAGATGTTTATTGTGATTTCATTGCGCTTTTCGTGGTATTTCCTATGCAGATCGACTTGCTTGATTCCACCTGCATGAAGGTGCAGATATTTATTCCCCACAGTCAGAGATTCCACCGTGGCAGGATGTCAGTCAATTGGTCTTGAGATGTACGATTTTCGAGTTTCTGGATGTTAATTTTGGTATTGCAGGTGTAGTGTATTCTCGTTGTCTGGTCGGGTTAGATGAGAGGCTGGTGTCACTCCGCCGATAATCGTTGATAATAAGGAAGGGCGTAGATAGATGTGAGCGACACTTTGGTATGTTGGAATGACCGTTTTTGTGTTTGTAAGTACGGATCTATCTGGATACGCTCTTAAATCGAGTTGAAGCTTGGATAGGCAGCATTTGCGAGATGCAAACCCCTCATGGATAGCAAAGAAATGCCGCGTCAACATAACATGCATTCCGAGCCATATCAGCGGAATCACTGTATCCGGAGTAAAGATGGTAAGTAAATCATTCGCTACGTGAATTCGGGTTATTTGCCTATTCTGATGGACATACAATTGTACCATTTTGTCCGAAGCTGGAGATGTTTTAATAGTTGCTTTTGCGCTGGGAAACCAAAAGGGTTAGGGCACGTAGTCCACGTGACTGGACCAGTACCGACTTGCGGCTAATAATAAAATCTTTGCTTGCCGATCCCCAACTACGACAACAATTCAATTCCAGAACGATGAATGAAAACACATCAATAGCAGAAAAAACAACCCAGCTGGAACCACTGAGAGCTAACAGTCATTTTTATTCTGCCTCTATCTTATCTAAAGCCCAATTCCTGAAGATACATTGGATTAATACCCCTCATCCTTCCTTTCTTCCACCGCCGTCTCTAGCATCACCTCCGTGCCTTGTACTTAAGGCTAAATAAATCTTTCACAATTCCGTTCCTCAAGATCTCTCGCTTCCCTTTTGTTTCTTTTAACCCCCAATTTAAACGACTCGCAGCTGGCCCTGCTTTACTATTATCCCCCCTCCGCACGACCTCCCACTCTCAAAGCAACTCAATCCACCCTCCCCTTTCCCGCTGCTTGATTTTCTACCGCACTTTTGCCAGTAGGAAGAAGAAAATGGGTCCCAAGAAGGCAGTCAAGGAGGAGAAGATCCCATTAGGCCGTCCGGGGAACAACTTGAAGAGCGGTATCGTACGTGGGGACTACTTACTAATGTCAATTTTGCCGTACTGGTTTTTCTCTTATTCTTGCTTTCAACGCTCCCCTCCCTTTTGCGTTCCTAACCCGACTCCCTCTTTGTAATATCATATTTTGCGTGCTTTTTGGCGACTTGGTTTACTGACCTATCTGTCTCTCTGGCTCTGTTAGGTTGGTTTAGCGAACGTCGGCAAATCGACTCTTTTCCAGGCTATCACTAAATGTTCACTGGGTAACCCTGCAAACTTTCCCTTTGCAACTATTGATCCCGAAGAGGCTCGTGTCATCGTTCCAGATGCACGGTATGATTGGCTATGTGAACATTATAACCCAAAGTCGAGGGTACCGGCCAACTTGACTGTATATGATATTGCTGGTCTAACGCGCGGTGCCTCCACTGGTGCCGGCCTTGGAAACGCCTTCTTGTCACATATTCGTGCCGTAGATGCCATCTTCCAAGTAGTTCGATGTTTCGACGACGCAGAGATCATTCACGTCGAAGGTGATGTAGATCCCGTGCGGGACCTCAACATTATTAGTGAGGAACTACGCATCAAGGATATTGAATTCGTTGAGAAAGCACTCGAAGCCTTGGGAAAACAAACTCGAAGAGGTGGTCAGAGCTTAGAGATGAAGAAATTGAAAGAGGAGGAGGCTACTGTTGCTAGGATCCTGGAGTGGCTGAAAGAAGGCAAAGATATCAGAAAAGGTGATTGGACTCCTAAAGAGGTATGTCCCGGCTTCCAGCTTCATGTTTCTCTTGCTACAGTTCCCGTTTGGTGCAAATTCTATGATGAACAAGAGCAAAATGCTCGATATAATCCCAGCTCGTTGAATGGTCTCAATTTTATATCTCACGTAGAGGCCATGTTGAGATGATATCCTATCCTGATCCCACTTTCACTGCTATTCTTTGTTGTATATATGTCGTACTGAATGTAAACGATGTGTTGCTAACTCTGTCCCGATGACTTAGGTCGAAGTGATTAACCCCCTCTTCCTTTTAACTGCCAAGCCAGTCGTATACTTAATCAACCTCAGTGAAAGAGACTACATCAGACAAAAGAATAAATACCTGCCTAAGGTTGCAGACTGGATTAAAACCAACTCCCCTGGCGATCCTATAATTCCAGTCTCGGTCGCTTTTGAAGAGAGGTTGACCCGTTTCAAATCCGATGTTGAAGCGGAGGAGGAATGCAAGAAGCTTGGAACCAAATCTGCCCTCCCCAAGATTATTTTAACCATGCGACAATCCCTTAAGCTTGGCAGCTTTTTCACTACCGGCGCTGATGAAGTGAGACAATGGACCATCCGACAGGGCACCAAGGCCCCTCAGGCTGCGGGTGTTATTCACACAGGTAAATCAATATCCTCTCTTCACTCCGTCTGTGTAAATTCACGCTTTTGACGCTGACAATTTCTTCCATTTTATAGATTTTGAAAAGACTTTCATCCAATGTATTGTGTTCAACTATGACGTTTTACGTGAATACGGAGATGAAGCGGCCGTCAAGGCTGCCGGCAAGGTTCTTACAAAGGGTAAAGATTATGTTGTTGAGGATGGAGATATTATCCTGATCAAAGCTGGTGCTGCCAAAGCCTAGGCGTATGGAATTTGTTATTTTCTTGATCTCTGCCTTAACTGCAGCAGTCGGCAAACATATTCTATAGTTAATAACGCGATTATGAATTAATTGCTTATGAAAATGTATTTTTTTTTTCCACCACGTCCTTAGACCAACCTTGCGCAAGTTGATTAGGTAAGCATTGCGGTCATGGCTTCCGCGCTAGCTTACATGAGCGAGTCAATCCGTATATCAAGATCAGACACGGGAGATCTACCAAGCAACCGCTTATTCCAATCTCTATTCCTAAGTCTATTCGCAATGTTTAAAAAAGAGTGAGTACCATATTGTTTTTGTGCGTTTTCCGCGTTTAAATTGAATAATCCTCCCCGCACCATACAACATGAACGGACAAAATACGGCATATTATATGCGAAAGCAAAATGGCAGTCTTGACAAATGCCGTTGCCAATACCCCCCCATTATAGCCCCTCTTTTCATCATGCCCGTGCTCTAAAAATTGTCTATATTCAAGTAATCTCAAATACCTTTTCCAGTGTCTCCCATGGTGCCAGGTCAAAAGTCAAATCCTCCGTCCAGCGAGCCATCAAACAAAAGCTCGTCGAAACGTATCCAGGCCTCGCACCCTATATGGATGAGATAATACCTAAAAAGGCCTCTCTAGAGGCTGTCAAGCTGTGAGTGAAAAACTCGCCCCACAACAACAATGACGACTTCCCTAACCCATTCTTTCGATAGCCACATCCCTGACCGCGTAACACTCTACACCCTCGACTCACGTCCCATACTCTTCCAATCCCTTGACACACCCCCGATCCCCCACTTACGGGTTCTGCACGCGTTCCCTGATGCCATCCCCATCGTAGGCATAGACCGGGGAGCCATTCGTTTCGTCCTCTCTGGCGCTGCTCTCATGGCTCCCGGTCTCATTTCGGCTGGTGGCAGGTTGCCCGATCCTGCGAATAACCCTGGAGACAGAGAATTAGAGGCTGGAGAGGTTGTGGCGGTTAAGGCGGAGGGGAAGGAGGAGATTTGTATGGTGGGTCGGTTGAAGATGGGCACGGAGGAGATGAAGAAGAAAGGCAAAGGGGTTGTTATGGATGAGGGGCATTATTTAGGGGATGGGTTATGGAAGATCGAGTCTGTGGGGTGAGGCAGTACGGTGGTGCTGGAAGGGAGGAAGTTTCCATGTAGTTTGGTTTATTTATTTATTTTTTTTTTTTTTTTGGCATTTGATTCGGTTTGATTTTGATTTAATTGGGATGGTGGGCGCTCCGATGTTTGTGATTGAAGTGATTGAAGGTGTTTCTGTGTTATATACGCGAGTGAGGGCAAATACCATGGGATCAAGGGATACAGGAGACACTCGTTGGACCGTAGATCATCCATGCATACTTTCCATTCCTAAAAGGGATATTGGATATGGTGTGAGGGTTGAATGAAACAGAGTAAATAATCTATGGTTGTTGACGAAAAAAGTAGCATCTACTCTCGTAGCCTAGTTATATTGTTAAGTAAATTAGATATCAATCTAATATGCAGATTAAGTACTGAGATAGCATATTTCGATTTGTACATTACAAGAGCCCATGCTCTTTGACCTGTGTGGCTCTATTAGCAGACTTTTGAGGTTAAGGGTTCATGTGTAGAATGAAAGTAATAACAGGCAAATAACTTTTCAAATTAACAAACCTCTAAAAGCTTCCCGGCCATACGGCAATGAGATATTAAATTGAATAGGCTATTGATAAGAATACAAGCAACCAAAGTCCCAAGAGCCAAGCGCATATATAAGTGTATCGATAAAGTAGCATTCACCACAGAAAGAGATGAGAGAAAATGCGATGCAAAGAGTGGATAAAAAGATAATAAAGTATCAAACTAGGTGTTGCCTTTTGGCGATGGCGATAAAGATGTGAAATCCTCCCCGGCACTGCTTCCGTCATCGTCGGTATTATCAGCCTTGGATGGTGACAGAGTCAAGGGCGATAGAGTGTTTGGAGTACGGGACGGAGATAGAACAGCATTGTTTTTCCTCCTGACCCTTTGGCTTTCGATAATATTTGGAGAGAGTGACGTGGGACTTTGTTCAGGTAGAGTTAGAGCTAACCCACGCAATGTTCCGCTGGGTCCCGAGTTTGTGTTCCCATTCAAAGGACTTGGTGAGGAGCGATGATTCCTGTTCCTCAAACCTACTCTAACAATGGCTCGCTCAAGCATTTGCCCAGACCTGTCTAGGGCGATTAGAAAGCGTGCTAGCTCTCCGCAGAGTTCCCAGTCGCCTCTTTGGGAAGCCAGTCTTAGAAGCCGTACGACTGAATCTTCGATTTTATCATCAGCGGCTTCATCTTCTTGCTCATCGAATGATTGAAGTACCAGTAAATAACCACCAGCTGTCTTCAGGGAATTTAATTTAAGTGCTTGTTCGAATAGCTCCTTTGGGTGAGGAAGGTGAGCGAACAAGGTACGCCATGATCGAAACTCTGTTTTCCGGGTACACTGAACAAGGATTTCAAGATAAATATCGGTTCGTATGGCAGATTGCAAGAAGGAAAGCACTGTAGGAAGCAACTGGTGATTGGGTGTGTCATTGTGCTGTGTTTCACGATCCTGATTGTCTACCTCTTCATCCAGCACATGGTGCAATAGCATTTCTAATGCATGAGGGAAATACGACAAATGTGAGTAATGGTGGCAAAGCGAAAGAGCTGCTGATGTGTCAAGCTGATATAGGTTATGTTGAAGAAGATATGGTAGGAATAGTTGTGTCTAAAAACAAGTCAGTCCCTAGAAAGCTTTAGTTTTAATGGACGGAGCACTTACTCTAATTGCAAATCGAAGGAGAGAAAATGTGACATCTCGTCTCTGAATCATTTCAGGCTCCGCTCCAAGTACAACCCCTTTATTAAGAAGTATAGATAATGGGTAAAAGTCAACTGGGATTGGCAGGGGCTTCGCCGTTTCATTAGGGGAACCCCTGACTGGTCGGAGAACGTCCTGAACGTCGCTCCAAACAAGCAAATCTTTACCACAAAAGATCCATAAAGAGTCTCTTAAAGAGATATCTACTAGTGATGCAGTATTCGGGGTTTCAACTGGGGGGATAGCTGGTTCATCTGAAGGTGGAGCAAAGTTGAAAGACAGTTGATCACGCATCAAAATATAGTACTCCGCATCATGAGCAACAATACGCATGTCGTATTTTAAATCGCCTGTTTCTGAAACTGAAGGCTGGAGTAACACAAGTTTTCCGTCTACCAAGAATAGAACTGAAGCCACAGAAACATCCTGGGAAGGGTCGCCATCTCCTGGCGGCTAGTTAATTTCGTAGGACAAAGATGAAGAGAAGGCTTGAAAAGGCCACTTACGAAGCTGACTGTCAGGAAGAACCCAACTAATAGCCCGGACGCGGGTCGGTGCTCTAACGATGCCGTGAAAGGCTATCTGGCCAACTTGAACGAGACTGATTCTCGTTTGGGTAGCGTTTATGACATAGTGATACAATATGTTGTCGTAGGTGTAAACTAGAAGCGAGTCCTCACCAGAAGGTCCGATAAATACGGCAGGAGCAGGGAGAATTTCTGTATATAGCACAGAGGAACTGTTGAGAGAAAGTTCACGGGAATATAGTCGTAGCTGTGCCTGTCAGTTTTAAAGTCCGCGGTGAGATTCTGGAAAAAACGTACCTCATAAGAGTTATCACATTCAACGGCAACAATTAAAATATGGCCATACCAACACATACCTCCCTGGACAGCAAAGGAGTCTTCAGTTTTCGGATCATCAAATGTCTTCCATCTCCTACTCTGGACGCTGTAATGAGCAAGTCCCCTTCGACCGGCAATTGCCACATATCGACCGTCTTGCGAAGCAATACACGATCGAATTGGCCATTGCGCATGGAGATACGTAGGGGGGTATTGGGCATGGTGCCAAAGGTAGTCTTTACCCGATATGGTAGTGAAGTCCGGTAGGTCATGGCCGCGATACAGAATGATCTCTGTTCCCGTTTGTAACAGTGCCCTCACTAAGTTTGCTGACGAGAAGCATCCAGTCAGGGAGCTGCGTGCGGTTTCAAGCATCCACACATGCCTATCACTTGGTGCTGTCAGGATAATATATGAGCCCCCACCGACCCAAGAACCCATGGAAACACCGGTCAGCCAATTCTCGCCATTTCTGGTGGCCAACTCGCGGTCAGAAGTAAAACTCGTCCCGCCTGGTTTGCCAAATACACTCCATGTGGTCCACCCATATTTATACCCTGCGAAAAGGCAGTAGCCATCGGGGGAATAGCTCATAAATGATATAGGTCCCATGGAAGTGGGAGACGCCGGAAGTTCAAGTTTATGGGAAAGGGGGATATTTCCCATATAATCTTTTGCTACGTAGACATATACTTCCCCATTAGCACATGACACGGCAAGAAGCGAAAACCTCGCATTCACTGCCACAGAAAGCGCTTTATGTCCGTCATTTTCAGGGGTATGAAATCTATGACCCCTGAAACGGCTTTTGGGTTCCCCTGAATGATCTGCTTCGTCTCTGACAAACTGCACAGCATACGTTTTCCCGTCGCTGGTGATCCAAAGGAAAATGTTCATGGCACGGTCGTATACCATATCCACGATGGTAGATTTTTTCGAAATGAATGGGATCCGACTTAACAGCTCTGTGTTTGTCTGACTCCCCGTACTATCGGGAGTCCACCGAATTGACTGAATAGCTGCAGGTTTCACTGTTGCTACTATTAGTTCATTGTCGAGCGCCAACGCTTTACTAATTCCAGCATCGACCTTAATCGCAACCCTAAAACGAATGCTGACTTCTCGAATAGTATCTGTTTCTCCTGTGGAAAAATGACGACTGAAGTGCTGACGACGTGGATGGGACTGGGATGAGAATCGTTGTTGGTAAACATGGGAATTGGCATCTGTTGCAATGGAATATGTGATTAAATATCCGTGGAGAGTCTGCACAACAACAATGGCAGAATCCGGGCGTAGAAGGAGAGTCACATTCCGCCCGTAGTTCTTCAACGAGATTTCGGAGCGCTTAACGGCAGCTACCACGGCTGTTGGCTGCAGATGTGGTTAATATTTTTGAGCTCAAATGGAGGCAATCAAATTCATTAACGTACTCTGGTTTGCCAAATTGCAATAGAGGTCTCCGTCATTGTAGCAAACAGGTGTCCACTACGCGAGACGCAAAGGCCGGTAATGGGTTCGTTTGGCCATGTTTCCCCTCTCTTTATCCCGCTCTTCGATCTTTCTCTGGTATGTTCTGTTTGGATATCTTCTTCTCCGTCTTCCTGCCGTCTGCAATTATGACCCTCTGCATCATCGTGTACCTCCGATAGTTGAATGCCTGGACCATTGACCGCGTAGACTCGAGGGACTCCATTTGGCCAGTACATCGCTGGGAATAGCGCCCGTGGCTAGAGTGGAATGAGGATGACGTATCACGTTGGACCATCTTCGGACGAGGATACCATTATACGTATCGACCTCTAGCAAGCCAGGTCTGACAGGAAGCAGTCATAAACATCCGATTTCTTCCTAGGCGCTGTTTGACGTTGAGTGTGAATGAGTGATCGTAGATCATCCGATCCGAGGTGGAAGGATAAGGTAGTTTTGACCTGACTGAGGCGGCGAGATCCGAGAATCACGTGGCAAGATTAGGCTTCAAGAAGTCTGCTGCGAATCTGCAGACACAGAGGGACCAAACAATATCAACACAAAACGCTACAGAGGGTGATATCGTGTCCAGCAATTCGTACTGCCGAATTCCGTGGAGCTGCAAGGCTTTATTAAGCCCTGAAACTTTCTACAATATGGTAATAGCAAGCCAATGTTTAGGATACTCAGTTTCATTATTCTTTGCCCAATCCTCGCCCTCAAAATGAAACTGACCTTTTCTTTTATCAGGCGCCCACAGAATCCAAGAAGCGTTTAGCGCTTGCGATAATAGACTTTCTCAGCAGCAGTCTGAAAGACGGAACCCTTACGGCAGAAGATTCTGAATCTATTGAGATTGCGCAGTCTTGTATCGCAGACACGTTCAAGGTGGACCCCTCAGATAAGACTGCTATGCAGGATGCGCTTGGAGGCCAAAGTCTTGCAACCATTTACAACGTATACGAGAAACTCAAAGGAAAAGGCTCCATCCCGGCGCCCAACTCCGCGGGTGACACAAAGCCAACTGAGTCCAAACCAGCAGCAGCTTCGCAGATCGGCACGCCAAATGAGGAATCTGAGAAGTTAAAATCGCAGGGTAACGCAGCCATGGCCCGCAAGGACTACCCTACCGCGATTTCCTTTTATACCCAGGCTCTCAGTATTGCACCTTCGAACCCCATCTACCTCTCTAACCGCGCAGCCGCCTATTCAGCTTCGGGAAACCACACCAAGGCCGCGGAAGACGCCGAGGTTGCCGTGGCTGCGGATCCAAAATATGTCAAGGGTTGGGGCAGACTTGGTCTTGCTAGATTTGCCCTTGGAAATGCCAAGGGTGCTGCTGAAGCATACCAGAAGGGCATCGACGCGGAAGGAAACGGTGGCAGTGAGGCTATGCGTAAGGGACTGGAGACTGCAAAGAAGCGTATCGAGGAAATGACGCAGGAAGAGAATGAACCCCCTGCGGAAGAAGTTGATGAGGCTTCTGGTGCCTCTCGTGGAACTGGGGGTGCGGGCGGAATGCCAGACCTTTCAGCTCTTGCAGGAATGTTTAGTGGTGGAGGAGCAGGGGGGGGCGCTGGTGGCGGCATCTCTGATCTCAGCTCAATAATGAACAACCCAATGTTTGCCAGTATGGCGCAGAACCTCATGAGCAACCCTGAAATGATGAGCAATCTTATGAATAACCCACGTATCCGACAGATGGCGGAGAGTTTGGGTGGAGGCGGTGCTGGTGGCGAGGGAGGCGGCCTTCCTGATATTGCTAGCATGATGAATGATCCGAATATTGCTGAAATGTAAGTCTTGCTTTGACTATTCATATAAGCTGCTTTTAAAGCGCTAACCGATTCAAATAGGGCAAGAAATCTGATGGGTGGAGGTGCTGGTCGTGGTGCCGGAAGAGGTTCTTGATGGGATCAACTTTCAAGTGGCAGGTTTGGTACTGACGGGTGCATCTACTGGTTGGAGCATTTTCTTGGGCCTGTTTGATGCAAAGATTGCTAAATTGCTATTTTACGGCATATAATTACCCAACAATATATGTATAAAACCTAGGATTTTCCTCCACTATCTTGTCCCTTGTTGCGTTGTTGAGTAAACCTATTGAGTAGCATTGTTTTCTGCAGAGCTGGGGATAGGCGCAAGAAGTCCGCAGGTCTAATGGGTCGAAAATGCATATAAATTCAAAGGCACTTGGTCTGAGGGAGTGCTAAAACCCAAGGGAGAGGAGAAAGAAGGTTAAGAAAATCGTTTGATAATCTCTTGAACAGGCTTTCTCAATCCAACTAATCCTGTCTCTGTGCAGGAAATGCAACATGAGAAAACAAGAAATCAAGGCTATCATATTATATATACAATGCAAGAGAAGAGAGGGTGGGTGGGGGAAATAAGATTGCTGAAAATACATAAGATAAAAGCCGGGAAACGGAAATCGAAACAGATTTGCGATTAGATTTATCCTACAACACATGTCTATAAGACTCCAACCCATAAGTAGTATACAACCGGGAAGAAACCAGGTAAAACAAAGGAAAATTGGGAGAAAATAAAACACATGCGTCAAGATATGATCGATTGGAGATCGTGGTGCATAAACAGATGTTCGGAGAGGGTGAATGGCGGCTGGTTTAGGAGTTGCAATAAGGGGGATGAATATGAATACGTCGGAACGTAGATAAGATGGAAGGGGAGGTCGAGTTGAAAAGATCGTTTAAATGTAATCACGACCTGCTTTTTGCAGCTCGATCATTCTCCATCCTCGAGTTTCGGGGTTGTTTACGTCTTCTGGAATTCTCGTCATGCCAATTGCGTATGTGACTAGTTGGACTTTGTCCTCCATGCCAGCGGCAAGCTCGTTGGTTTTTGCATTGCGATAGACATGTACTTCCTGCGTTCGGCAGGTGATGATAAAAACTGGGATGTCACCTGGCTCCAGCATACGGGCATGGGAGATATCGACATGGCGGATATCGAGAATTCGGCCATCTGATTTTAGTCCAGCTGTCGTATATTGCTTGGCAAGCGCGGCATAGACGTTGTATTGGGCCTCAGAAAGCCAAAGTTTAAGGGTTTCAATGTCTCCCTTGACGTATGCATCCAGTACCTCGGGCAACATATATTCTCGCAATTCTCGCAAGAAAGGCTCGATTTGGAAACTGGGATCCATTTCTCTGAATTTCTTGATGACCATCGCGGTCTCATTTTCTGCGAACCAGCCGGCCACTCGATTTGAAATGCTCCGAGCCGTGCTGACTAGTGGATTGTCGGATTCATTATATGTATGCTTAAGGTTGAAATACGATTGCATAAGACGACTCGACTCTTTGAATTCCCGCCATGACTCTTTCCAAGCTGCGTCTTTATGAAGAGTGACGTTGGTACCCGCACTGCTTCTGTCAGTAATATATTCAGGAGTAAACTAGAATATCAGTAATAGCGAGCTCACTTTGGATCTTCTTCCATCTTTTCTGCCTTGCGGCGGCCAGCTTTGGCCTCGGCAAGCTCTCGTAGCTCTCTTTGCTTTCGTCGCTCCTCTTTGTCCATCCATCCTCCATAGCGGGAGCTACTCCCATCATCTATGGCTTCTTTCACTCCCCCAACAGCAGTTTTATATGCAGTGGTTTCACGAACCGGCCTGGTAACCTTTTCAATGCCCTTTCCAGTGGCAGATACTCCGGATCTAAGTCCCTTGACAACTGGCGTTTCCCAAGTCCACGCAGCCCCCTGCCCTATCGCCTTTCCGGTAGATTTTAAAGCCGAGGAGGTCTTCGAAGTGGCGGCACCAGAAGCAGCCTCATATGCAGCTCGAGCTCGTTTAACCGATTCACTCTCAGTAAACTGATGCGCGGAGGACGCCAACGCTTTCGTCGATTCATTCCATTCCTTTGAGGCTTTGAACTCGGACCGAAGGGTCTCAGTGAAGACCTGCCATGGAGATTTGTCACCATGGGGTGGTGGTGGAGGTGGTTCTTCTTTCTTTCTGCTTCCTTCATGGGAATCCTCTCCCTGCTGCTCTCCCTCATTCTTTGCCTTTTGCGACGATTCGTTTGAATTGCGATTCTCTGTGCTTGATTGCTCCGACTCCTTTTGCTTCTGCTGCCAAAGGGCACGACCCGACCGGAACAATCGCCTGGCTGGGAGAACAACAAAGATCGAACTTATATGAGTGGGGTGCGCATGAAGAAAGGGGGAAGAAATGGAAATCGGTTGGTTTAGAGGGGAGGATAGTCTGATTCGAGATGAGATGGCAGAATAAAGAGTAGCGCTCTGCGTCATTGATCGCCGGGAAATTGCCCGCGCAGCATATGCAACGCTATTCCGTAAGAGAACCGTCCGAACCACACCGGACGGTGTAGATTTAGTTGCGATAAACATAGTCCGTGGGCAAGGTTGGATCATGCGGTTTTAATCCAGCGGTTGAAATCGGCGGAATTATACGGACGAAAGTAAAAGTAACAGAAACAGCAGCGAGACAACAAATACAAATACAAATCAACCTCGAAATCCCCGCCTTGCTGTTTGCTACCTCGTAGCTGTGAGTTTTGTTAGACTGGGGAGAGCAGCGAGGGATGAAAGGAAAATGTTTTTTGACGGCGATGTCCACTTTGGGAGTTTGTCTGCACGCCAAGCCAAGGAGAAACTTCCGCGCTCTTCGATGAACCTTTCAGCGCTTATTCCTTAACTACTTAACCGCCACAAACCTGGAGAAACAGACAGAAGAGACAGACATACGATGACAGTGCAACAGTGCTCTTGAGTACTCTTGATAGCTCCTCTTATTTACTTGCATGCGCGTGTTGGCAGCATCGCGTTGCCGGTGACAAGCCACTGGTTCTGCTCTCCTGAAGTTCCCTTTGAAGGTATCATTCGATTAAATATCCACATCTATTTTACTGGTTCATTTTCACTAATATCGATGTGGTGCAAGCAGTCAATGCGTCTGTGCCGTTACCTGTTCTACCTAAGAGAAATGGGGCCTTCTATCGTCAAGGGTCTGTCCACTGCGGCACGGTCTATCCGACACTCAGGCCAGCAATGCCTGTGCCAATCCCAAGTCCTCCAGCCGGCGATGTTTACAAAGCATGTTCGAGATATGTCTACCGGCGAGAGATCTGCCTTGTCGAAGCTCTCAGCGTCGACCAGAGCCTCAAGAAACACAATTACCGATTCTACGTCCATGCACTTCCGTTTTAATCAGTTTCTCTACAATCCCTATCCTGTCCAAGACCCTCCACACCACCTTCACGTCTATTCGCACAAACATAACACCCACATCACCCTAACACGATCAAACGGAGAACCCCTGCTCTCCATGAGCTGTGGAAACATCGGTTTCCGCAAAGCACAACGTTCCAAATTTGACGCAGCGCATCAACTTGCATCATTCATGATGGGAAAAATCCAGGAAGAAGGACATCTGCTAAAGATGAAACGGCTGGAGGTTGTTCTCAGGGGTTTTGGCCCTGGTCGAGAAGCATTCACAAAGGTGCTCCTCGGCCCAGAAGGAAAGAATATACGGAATTTGGTATGCAGGGTTACGGATGCTTCTCGATTAAAATTTGGAGGTTGTCGGAGCAAAAATGTGCGGAGGTTGGGTTGAGCTCGATTTTAGTGTTATGTCCTTCCAAAATATATATGCTTTTTGCCCACCGGAACCGATATTGGAGATCCCGTTGGGAACCCCTGTCTTACGAGCGGGGCCAGACGGAGGAAGATGCATGTCTTCAGATCATCCATTCAGGTTAATGAGGAACCATCGAGGCCTAAAAAGGGACCACAACTGCATATGAGTTTGACAGAGAGTGTATCGTCCTTTCATTCTTTGTATTTGTGTATCTATATACATGTCTTGCTTTAACCTGCTATATCTATTGCCTTATTCTTCTCCAAACCGCAGCTCAGTTTTACCAACTTTGCTATCAATAATATTTTTCAACGAGATTGTCCACATGTTTCTTTATAAATATCTTCACCGCATTATCTCGTAATCCCGTCCTTCAAGGCTATTATTCTCTGCGGAATATCCTCTGCTCCAGACCGCCCCCGGCCGAGAAGTGCTCGATAATTCCCGAATGTGTACTAGCACTGAGCTGGCATAAATGCTCGCAGTCACGTGCACAGTTACTCCAGATATTCCTCCCATGAAGGCATCAACCTTTTATCTCTCAACAAGAGGTTATATATTTTCCAGGTTGCTTCAGAAATTATTTCTATTCGTGTATACAGTGCTATAGCTCTCCGCCTTCCCAAGTTGCGTGTTAAACCATATTGTTCTCCTGTTGACCTAATCGCCGCCCTCCAAGGTTTCTGTACCAAATGCGCCAGGATCGCACGCTGGAGATATAAACAACCCAAGAACACGCAAACCCACTCCGGCCTTGTCCCCGTGTAATTTGATGTGTGGCGGGGCTCGACCGCCGGGCCATCCAATGCTGCGTGGATGCACCCATTAAACCCTTTTCTCCGTGCCTTCTTCCGCAGTACTATTCCTGCACAATGCGTCCCAATTCAGAACCATGTATTTACATACTAACTCAAACCTCCTCTCTTGGATTTCTGTGTTTCTCTATCTAACGGAATCGAAATTAGGTCCTTCTTGTACCCATTACTGAATCGCTTGTGAATGCGCTAGACCGAGATTCGAACCTGACGTATGCCGATATTGTTGCGTCAGAGGAGTTCCTGGGAAGCCATGTCTTGCGCATCACTACCCCTATCGGCTCGCCTGCAAGTAAGGATGGATTGAGTGTACGGGATAGTCGGGGGAAGGCAAGGCAAATTACGACAGTAAATGGCCGGACTGTGGTGATCAAGGAAACATTGGTGTATAGCAATAAAGGTAGGGTGAAACCACTTCAAAATCATTACATGACTGTTTTTCGCAAGAGGCTAACTACCATAATTCAGGGTTTAAGACGTTGAACCAAGCGCAGTTACTGTCCGATATACTTTACTATACCTCAAACAACGAATCGCAGCCATGGCTGATATATTATATCTCGCGCCCGTTGATTGGCACTTTCCAGCCTATCAGGATTTCACCTGCTGTTGTCCCCGGCCTTTTGCCAAAACCTGCGGAATCCCCTAAAGGAGGAAATCCAAATGAAAACCACGCGTCGCATTTCTCGAAGAAAGAGATCAAGTCGTTTGCAGAATTGCTAGCAAATTTCCCGATGATTGCGCGGCAAATGCAACCTGGGTTGGAAAGGGTGTTTCGAGAGTTTGGCAAAGAGCTTGGGAAGCCATTGCCGCCACCACCGTCCTCCGTATCATCTCCAGCCATGTCAGGCCTGGAAGCGCATGACGAGACTACGGAACCTGAACCTTGGCGAAGTAGATCGCTTGCAAATGTGTTGCCGATAAACGAAGAAAGCCTTCCTTTCAACTCTTCAGACCATTTTGAGGACGACGAAGATCTTTTGAGGAGGGCTTTAGAAACAGCGGTTACCACTGCAATTGATCTGTTTCGACTAGTCGATAAACAGCAGCTTTCACTGTTAGGGGCAACAACCGATTTAACGGGCTCCCTGGTTGAACGCCTCATCGAAAAACATGTGGCACAACAAGTCCATGATTCATTATTATTTCCTCGACTTTGTGGCTACCGCCAGGGGGAGGATGCAGAGTTAGATGCTCGTATTCGTCAAATGGAGAATATTGATGTTTCGCAAGTTGGGATTGTTATTGAGGGTGGCCGCCAAGGGAAACAGGAGCTCATTCACCGTCTTGAAAGAGGCGTGGATGAATTTCGAAGAATAGCAGATGCAAGATGTCCTCAGGACATGCTCGAAATTTTGCTGGCAACTATTAAACTCGTGACGGTAATGGAAACCCCTTCCTTGCCAAATAACGAAGATTCATATGGCCACTGCGAGAAACAACGCTCTGTGCTTGCAATGAATGCAGATGTTTTAGTTTCATTATTACTTGTGGTTATTATCCGGTCACAAGTTCGAAACCTTCAAGCCAGGCTTTTATACATGCAACAGTATATCTATACTGATGATGTTGAAAGTGGAGAATTTGGATACGCTTTGAGCACTTTCGAAGCCGTTTTAAGTTACCTGCTGAGAGATTCAAGAGCTCTTAGGCGAGCAAGCGCTCGAAACAAACGACTTTGGACCGCTACAAAAGCCGGAAGGATTTCGGAGATAAAAGCAATACTAGATCCAGATAGCCTCCAAGATACCCCTGCTGACGATAATGGCGATGAAGACGGGATTCCGAGTTTACCAAACGTCGAAGACTGTGACACCTCGCAGCACATATCTACTCAAAATTCATATATGAACGGCACTATTACCGAGCCAGTTAGTAAAGACCAACACCCAACGCCTGAAACACCATCACTTTCTCACGTTTTCCCCTTTCAAACTTGGTCTAGAACCTCTCCTTCAAGACCCCATACGCAAACGCGAAAAAAGGTTTCCATGGATATGCGGAGTCTCTCAGAGTCATCGACAGTGTCCATTCTTTCTCGAACGACAACAATCGGTTCAACAGCCAGCGCACTGGAAGGAGATACGTCCATTGAAAGCCTCACAAAAACACAGGATCCGGCGGGCGACTCCGTCCCAATGATGGCAGTTGAAGCGCGCCAACCGGAGGCACTGAAGTTCTTACTTAGCTGCGAAGAATATTATCCCCTCGAAAGCATACTGGAAGATACCAACAGTGACGGAACGACATTACTGAGCGCCGCTGTGCAGCTTGCGCACACCGAATTAGTTGATATAATTCTGGATTTCGTATCGCAAACGTGTGATTCTCGATACTATGCGAAAGCCGACCGGAGAGGCCGGACAGTCGCTCACTATCTTTTCTGTGTTCCTTCGCTTATGTCTCGATTGGGGTGCGCTCTTCCATGGCGACAAAAGGATAAAAACGGACAGACACCTCTTTTTGCCCTCTGCAGGTCGTATGACCATCCCGACTATAGTTCCATGGTAAATGAAGCATTAACAGTCGCACAAAAAGCACAAGGCGACGGCAAACCTCTGAGGCTAGAAGACCATGTTGACGGGAAAGGAAACACTCTCTTACATGTTGTTAGCGATTCACGGATAATTGTTAGGATCCTCAAAGAGTGTGATTGTGACCCCAATGCTACAAACGATAAAAAGTTTACACCATTAATGATGGCAAGTAAATACGGCCGTGTGGATCTAGTGCGAATATTTTTGGGAGATCCACGAGTCGACGTCCATGTCCGAGAGATGCGAGGCCTCACCGCAGTCGAGTTGGCGAAGGACGACGAAGTCCGCAACCGAATTGACGATTTAATACTCTTCTCCAATGCCCCTTCTTCTAATAGTGACCCTTCAGGGAGGATCACAACAGTTGTACGATCGTTGTTTGTCGAAGACGCTAGTGTCCGTTTTATAATTAAATCTGGTGCCCCCAGCCTTGAAAGATCATCTCAAAGCGCATCACCGCAAGATGTCATGGCATACACAATAACAACCTGTCGTCGGAGCATAGCCGATTTCGAGAATCTCGTAAAGTTCCTCAAAATTGAGCACCCAGCATCATACATTCCAGAATCCCCCGAATTCCGCACTCCGTTTCAAATACCATCAAAACCTTCAAGAGCTGTCCTACATGACGTTCAGGAGCGTCTAGACCTGCTTTTAAAAATCTTACTATCCCATCCTACATTCTCCACCCACGAGATGCTCTGGGAATTTTTCCTCGTCCCTGAAATGCAAACGGAGATGATAGAAGACAGATCCCGTCGAAAAGCTGAAGCACTTGCAGAGACAATTGCCGACGACTACGAACCAGTAACTAAAGAAGGGATCCGTGATGTTGAGCAGATTGTGTCTCATGCGCAGGACGCAGTCAGGGCCGTCAACGCTGCCACCCGCAGCCTTATTCGTCGTGGCCACCTTCTCCAGCATGCATATTCCGACTTTGCAGACTCAGTCGTTCTCTGTGCATATGCCATTTCATCACTTCAACCCCCTTCCAATTCCCTTCCAACCTCACACGTGGAAACCTTTGCCCGCTACGCCGCCTGCATCTCCACATCCTCCATAGATTCCTCCCCATTAATGCAATTCCTCATCACCCTGACATCATCGCACAGTACCACAACTGCTGTCCTAGAAGCCCTCGCGCGACCAGGAAAGCTCATCTCCAATCTCAACATTGAAATTCGTGACCTGACAAGGGCACATTCGTCGCTTTCGTTTTCGTCTGTCCCGCGGAAATTCAACTTCCCAGGCCTGGAGGAATCGCGACAAAAATCGATGCGTGATCTGGAACAGAAAATCACAGAGTCGACGGCCGAGGTTGAACAGTTGGAAAAGGAGATATCGTGGAATAAGGATGTGGTTGTTGGTGAGCTGGCTGGCTGGACGTCGTGGAGGGAAAAAGTTGGGAGGGACGCCATTCGGGCTTTCGTTAAAACTACGTTGGTTAGGGAGGAGGAGAGATGTAGGGGGTTAGAAAGATGTTTGAGGAGTGTTAGGGGTAAATAGGCCAAGCAATTATTAACATTGCCGGAGAAAATAATGGATGTTGATTTCTCATTTCAATACTTTTATTAACGTTCGTGTAGGTCTTTAATAATTTTCATTTGGGCTATCAAGGTACGAACTTTTGGAAGCGAAAATTTGTCCTTCCATTCCTCACGCGTTGCTTCTCCCCCACCAGTGTGATGTAATTTTCTTTTGCTATTTTTATTGATTATGAATGACCATCAAGAAGTTTTCCTCATCGATACCTTGTCCTTCTGATCATATATGACGGCCATAAATCTAAACCGTTGGACTGGTTAAGGTTTTCCACATGGAAGGTTGTGTATTTGCTGCGTCATACCGAATCTTGTGGTGCTGCACACAACAAATTTCGAATTTGTTTTCACAGCCTCATTTCGCTTCTCTAGTTATACTGTAAACACCACAAACTCGCCATATTGGCCCTGGAAACGTCCAGGAGAGAACACGTGCGTTTATTTATGTACAGTGGCACACCAATCACCACCCATTTGAATAGCAAGAAGGAAAAGTAATAAGTTTTGTATATACACTCTGAACTCCAACCCAAAATGCGGAAAAGCAGAAAAGCAGATACCAAAACCCCTGAATCAGTTTGTGAATAGATAGAAACATGCCAACGAGCGGACCAAAGTGGGTATATTGCGAAGAAGGACAAGAATACTAATATTATAAAATAAGGCGACAAACGAGACATGGATAAACAGATAAAAATGCTTCGACAACCAGCAAATGCCTGTCGTTAGTTTTCTGGGCGATGTGAGTTCACCTCCATTACCCGGGAACATGCAGAGCGGAGAAGCATGCTTCATCTCCCTCCGCGGCTCAAAATGTCGAACGGAATCTGGAAGAGGCTGTGCCGCCTAGTTCTCTAGACGCCCTCACACCCGCGATGGTGGAAAGCTGGTAATTTCGGAAATATCTTCCGATACAGCTGAACTAGGCCGGATACTTGAAAGCGCATTTTGTGGCCCATGGATTGTTGGAGGCACACTGCTCTGTCTACCGAATGGGAGACTGTCCGTCTCATCGTCCTCAATGTCAGAAACATCGTAGTGGCTATCAAAATTGGCGTTGTTTGGATATGACACATATTGCCAATTGTGGTTTGTATTTCTCTGTTCGCGGTCAGTGCTGCTGTTGTTCCTGCTAAAAGGGCCCAACAAGCTACGACGGACGTTGTCTCTGGACTCGCGACGGGATCTATAAGTTGTGAGCGGTCTTGCAGTTGCTAAGGTTTCCATGGGTTCCTGCTGGGACGTAGGAGGGGCTGGGGGAAAATGGTCTTGAGAAGGTGATTCTTCTGCAGCCCTTGGGAGATTGGTGAACGGCTCCGAGAGGTTCGAGGGTAAGCGGTTTTGTGGATCTGGTGGATTAGACCGCTGTATTGAGCTGCTGGATGAGTGACCAGGATAGGGATCGCCTGTGGCAAGAGCAGCATAGAAACGCCTTGAGAGACGATGCTTTTGACGTCGCGTGTGTTCTGACGCGCTGTCCGCTGCGTTGGATGGGGTAGATGCACGAACCCAACTAGAACCAGGCGATTGGGCAGCAGGAGGCTGCTCCGGTGTCAATTGATGCACAATAGATTCCGTTTGAGGGTTCCCACCCTCTCTCATCGAGGGAGTGTCATACGGCGGGGGTGGCATATTCAACTCATCGCTCATTTTCTTCCTGCGCGAACGTCTCCACGCCATGAAGGCGAGGTAAGCTACGGCAATCAGAGCAATCCCTCCAATTGAACAACCTGCAATAACGGCACCTGAATCTTTTCCAGCCTTTTTCGACCCAACGGTGGTTTGAGTAGCCAAAGGAGTGGAAGAAAGTGTGGAAGTACGGGATATAAATGAAGTCTTAGTCGTGGCCGTAGTCCTGAGAGCTGTTGATGTTGCGGTTGTTGTTGTTGTTGTCGTAGCGGGTGCTTCAGTAAGATCCTCGCTGGTTGTTGTAGGCTCGTCTTCCCAGATAAGAGTAGGACCAACATTATCGGGAATGAAAGTAAATATGGCAGGTTGTGTTATGGGTTCCTCTTCCAAAAACTGTCGTTTTCTCCAATTTCTGCCAAGGGGTAATCTGTACCTTTTGTCATTTTTTGAGGGTCCGTTCGAATTAGAGAGTTGTCGCCGCTGCCTCTCTGTACGTAAAACTTTTAATATCTTAACTGGCTGAGGTGTAGGCGACACTAGAACACATTTCCCCAAAGAGACACCAGCAACAACCTCTACCTCCCAAACGAGGGGATTTTGACAGGGAGGAGTTGGAGGGAGAGGGAGATCCGCATGGCTTGCAGATGAGAAATCAGATAGAAAAGTCCAACATGAGGTCACTAGGATATAGGTGGTCGGAAGCCTCATGACGATATCCCATTGAGGCTAAGCCAGTCCTCAAGTGAGCAGCCCAAGCTACCAAAGCGGTGGTTATCAAGGATTGAGGAGGAGTGTGCTCCTCGGCAATATGGTCACCCTCACTCTGGGTGCATGTAATCGTATGTAGGTCGCGGTTTCAACCAACCTTTCCTTTCAAAAGTTGCATCCCAGTGAAGCGTTACAGGGTAGACGTGATGGCCCGGGGATCAAGCCAAGGAGTTATAAATAGCAAATGCTGGTCCTAACTAGAACAATTTTATCAGATGGATATGCGCGGACTGTGACCTTCTGTGAGGAAAGTTGAAGGGTCTACCCTGACAGAAGAGAAGGAGAGCTTGTTGAACTTATCATAGAGAGGTAAATAACTTTGAATTGGTTCCTGAATCTGAGATTATGTGTTCCATTGTTATTTACCAAGCTGGAAGTGTTTCAAGATTTCCGGATGAACACAGCCTCGTGCAAGGCTCCAAATTCGTAGTTATCAAGTCCGTCAGAAGTGATATGGGATCCTCCAATTGGACCCCCTTCATTTTTCCGAGCTTCTATTTTTTGGTTATTAGTTACCAAAGTCGCTTACCCCAGAATTTTGTCGGGATTGACACTCTAGTGCACTCTTTCATCGTTGCTGTTCACATTTCTGATCAATCAGAACAGCCACATTCTTAGCTGCGCATTATGCCCCTTTGGCCATCCAGTCAAAGTTATCGAGGCATTGTTCAACAAAAATGTGGCCCAAATGGCTTGCTCATCATTATGCGCAGGAGGAAAAGGAAAGACCTCTCTTTCAGCACAATTTTATGAATTCCTTGATCCATGGAATCGGTCTGTGGCTATTGTCTTTGATTGATAAATCACGGGCAGGATTGCTGCTTGGGCTGAGAGTGAGTTGAGTTCCTTCGCAGGGAGTCAAGCTATTTTTTGGCTGTTAGTGAAGAATAGATAGAGCAAATGAGCCAAGGATCAGCCGGCTGGATTTCCGAGTACACGAGAGACTTCGCCCTGCTGGACCCAAAGGACCCGAGATCGTAATGTTGATACCTATCGAGAGATAGCTGAGAGCCCATATTGTGCACACAATATGACCCGCTTGGAATTGACGCAAAATTAAACAGAGGCTGAGGGTGCGATAAAATACGAGAATCCTCGTATTCCGGTCGCAAGGTTAAAGTCACGTGCAATATATGACTAAGTATTTACAGCGATATCATCACGTGATATGAATCTGTTTGTCCTGTTTGTTTTGCCATCAAAAAACCGGCTAACAGCGATAAACTACGTCATCGACGTCAGGTTTCATAATTGTGCTGCCTTGACACTTTCTGAACGTGAAGGACTGATATAAAAAGCACGGAAAGATTCGTTGATATTGATAACTACTCTCTCTGTGTATACCCCAAACCGATCCCGTATTAACATCGACTAGACTATCAACCCCACATTTTAAACAGAAATTAAATTCTGATATTAGTTAACTACCCGAACCAAAGTCTCTTCATAACTTCTCATCATGCCTCTCGTTGTGTCAAACGTCAGCAATGACCAGCAAGCAGACTGGTCAACAAAACTGCTCGGCAAGAAGCTAACGCAATCAACATCAGACACAGCGGTAGGTTGTCGAGGAATATTTCCCCATGCGTCCCTCATCTAATCTGATAAGTCATAATAATAATTTGGTTCCTCTGCTCATCTTCTGTCCCTAGTCATTCGCAAAGAAAGATCTGCCCCCTTCCCACCGTGTGGTTGAACCGGGAATGATGATGACGATGGATCATATACCAGAGAGGTAAGGGTCTGCCTGTTCTTAATTGATTGATTGCTGCTGTGTTCGCCTCCGCTACCACGGTTTTGATACTCCCGATTTCTGTCAATTTCGACGTTGTATCTCCATTGCCTCGACTAAACCTTGAATGCTAATTCTTATATTGATAGGTTGAACATACATGTCAACGAGGACGGAACAGTTACGAAGGTGAACTACGGCTAATTGGGGAATATTTGATGGCTGAGTGTGTGGAGAGTTTTTTAACTTTTACTTAAATTTTTATACAATATAGGCAGAGATTGCAAAAATTGCATCAGGCATGGCTATGTTATGATGATGTAAAACTTGGGCGCTAGATGATATTCAGGAGGATGGACCTTTTTTGCTTTTGCAAAGGGTGAATGACTTTAAATGAACATCGTTTGGCGTACAAAATATCATTCGTCTATTTGATTATCGATATGGACTTTCCATCCATCACTCGACCCTTGGGTGATTAAAAAATAGCCAGCTCGTTGCTCATAGTTCATGCTGATGTGTGCCTTGTAAGCTCATACAAAGAGTGCCTTCTTAAAAAACATTACATACCCTTACCATTTCACACTCCTTCACAAACAGCTGAATCTCTCCCTTCATCACCAGTAGCGGTGGCATTTTTCTCTATCACGGTATATGCCTGGCTTCACATCAATCATTCCGATCAACCATTGTCTAAGCCTATATCATGAGCGGGTATGGACCGCGATCGTCACTCCATCGTAAAGACCGCAGGAGATATGAGTGCGGGATCATCTATCCTTTTGTACCCCACACAAACAAGGAAAACGATGGGCAGGTTATTCGCCAAACAAGTCCACCTTTCGATGTTTCTAAAGGGTAGAGAGCACTGAATATTTGCTCGACACAAGCGACCGTCGATATTTCAACTTTTGGATAATGAATATATCCAACCATGGTCCAGCATCCAATTTGGCAGAGAGCGTGAAGCCTCCCCTACTACCCTTGTCCCAGAAAAGGTTTCAGTGTGTCGCAACCATTCTAGTTACCAATGCACATTGTTGGCCGCGACTGTTCCGAGATCCACAATCAGTCATTGCCAAATCCAATGGCGAAGATGGCCCTTTGCTGGGCCACAAAGAATGAATGACCAACAAAACCCATGTGTGGCATGTCAAATTTCTTGTCAGAAACATATTGTTTTCTCATGGCGAGTTTAGTCGTCCACATATTCGAAACAGTACCCCTGGGTTTTAAGTGTATGGGCGGAACCTAATTGCTCAGTGCGTCATGGAAAAATCGTGGGACGAACGAAAAATTTGAGAGAGTCAAAGGTAGTGTTGGACTTGAAAGTTATTCTTGCTAGAATTTCATTAAAAATTCCCTTTCTGTTTCAGGAGGCAAGGCGAGGACTTCAGCCGTATGTTCAAACCCCAGTGTACCCCGGAGGTTCCCACGCTGGTTCATTAATAATTCCCCCAAGGAATGTCGGAGCGTCCTCGGGAAGGTACATGCACGTGGCAACGGGTAAGCATTGCGAGAGAATAAAAAACAACTTGTCCCCGCTTTGAACTTGTGGATTAATCGGCGACCATCTATGGCCTGACGGGGCTCACCAAGACTGAAATTTCCCAGTAACAGCTAGACTCATAATTCATCAATACATCATTCCCATGTATTGTCCTGTTCACCGATCAATTCCGACGCTGATGGTCATTGACAAACGGCGACTCTGACAACAATGGACGCAATTCAATTCATTTCAGTAGCCTCAGCCTACCGCTCATCAAATCCCAACACAAAGAAGATATAATGGCGAACATTTGGGCTTCATCATCATGGCCGAGAAAGATAAGAATTTCAATACCAGCTGTCTGCAGCCATGTTTCATGGTTTTATTTCAACAGGTGTTCCGATACCCATGCTCGATCTAAAGGGTCTCAATCGACATCGGGTTAGCCTTCCCGTTCAACACCATGATCGGCCAATTTCCACCGATCATTGTAAAACAGGTCCTATGTCACTTCCCGTTCGTGTTTAATATTCCGTGTAACCTTGGACAAGCCTTTTTTATTTGAGGCTATGCTGCGCGAAGCAGCAAATAGCCCATGGGAAGAAACGGGACATCTTTTCTCCAAGACGCGTTGGTTTGGTTCTAGAATAGAGGATGAATTTGGATTTGCTCAACTCAAGACATGCCCTATCAGCGCGAAATTGACGGTTGGTTTCCATGGAGGTATCTCGCGGATTTGGAGATCGGCGAAGTTGTGGAATTGGATGGCTAGCTATGGCTGACAACCCAACACACAATAGATGGGATATAGCGTAGCATAATATCGATATCGATTGTGTTAACGCATTTGCTCTCCACAGATGCACGGACCAATACAGGTAGAGGGGAAATATTGCTATGACACTGATGACGTCCAAACTTGAAAATCATAGTGGTAGTTGCTTAGGGGAAGACTTTCTGGCAGTCTCTCGCATGGTTGCTCTCTGTCTGTACACCTATGTTTACGTGCGTACACTCGTGGCGACCGGGTTCGAGTGATGTCAGAGAGGAGATTTTGATTAGATATCAATCACCGTCTGAACTGTAGGCGCCCAATCCAAGCACAGATGAGATGGGTGTGTCTGAACCAGCTGCGATGTCGTGAACCTTCGTTGTCTCCGTCTTTTCGGACTTTTCGGGTTCTTCCGTTTTCTCGGTGATCTCGGGCTTCTCTATTCCCATTAACATACTAGCTGAACTGGGAGGCGACTGCGATTGCTTGCCAAGTTCTTCTAGCTGCGCTTTGTTGATGGCAGATGATTTGGCGTCCGTAGATGAACTTTTCTTCCGCTTGACACCTGGAAAAATGTCCTTGTCCTTGGCCCTCCTCCGTTTCCTGGCACTGATGACCCATTGTTCTTCATCTAGAGTTGGCACCGCACCTGTACCTACGCCGTTCGAATTGGAGGTGGTGATGTCAACCAAGACCTTTTCTGCCTCCTGGCGCTGACGGTGAAAAATTTCTAATTGTTCTCTTGTTTCCCGTTTCAAAGCTTCCTCTTGGGCCCTCGTCAACTCCAGTACCGAATCTAGGAATTCCACTTCATCCTCATCAAGCGCACGAAACTGATTCTTGAGTTTAATGGACTCCTCGAAAGCTTCCTGTTTGGCCGCTGGATATTGAAGACTGGGAATTAGCTTCGGCTATAAAGGTATTTTTGGCCGGGGTATTATATTTACTGACCCTTATTCCGTTGTAGAATCTCATAAAGACTTTTCCCACCATCTTGCTTGGCCTCCTCGGCCTTTCTTCTCCGCTCTGCTTCAAGTTCCTGCTGGGCTTTCACCCACTCATCGTCCCTTTTGGTTGGGTCATCAATGGTGCCTCCACTGACAAAGCCGGAGGACATTGTTCATTGACCGCTCATCGACCACCATGCGAGAAACTGAGACCGTTTTCAACTAATGGCGGAAACTGTTCGTGGGTTAATATAGGACCGAACATGACTTTGATGGTTCGGCTGGAACGGAGCGATTTTAATCGGGAATATTTTGCTGTGCCACGCGCTTACATGAGTGAACAAGCCACTGGTTAGTTAGTCGCCGCTCCTAGTCTGCCCCATTACGTCAGCCAGACCTCAGGCAGACATTCCTTGTATATATCCTGTATCCCATCCAAGATGTTTCTCACCCTCTCTTTAACGGTGAACTCGCCAGTCCCTCTGTGCAGTCATGGCGCCCTCCAGTGGCCATCAACTTCTCCCCAAAATATGTCGGGTTGCTAGGTAAGTTTCCAACCTCTTGTATTGGATTACGAGTTTCTTCACTCACTCACCGTCGTGATAGATTCGCTTTCGAGAAGGCAACAAGAGTCGTCAAGGCCAGGGTTTCGGAGCAGTTCGAATCCTCTCGCCTTGCTTACCAGCCCATTTATGCTCGATCCACCCACCGTCAGGCTATCAATAGGATTGCTGCCATCCGACAGGCCCAACGTCGTTTCTATTCTACCTCCCGATCCGCTACCCGTCTCTCCACGCACGCATTCCAATCGTCCAAGATTTGTGCTGCGGTTAGCCGTCTAACTACTCGAACACCCTTTGCGTCCACGCTGCGTCCGAATCTCACAGGCGGTACGCTTGGCAGAACAGCTGGCGGATATACAATCGGAGCCGGACGGCTTGGCGGTGCAAGATATTTCTCCAATTGCCCAGCAACTCCAGCCCAAGTTGTTCAAAATGTGTCCGCCGGAGTTCGTGCTTTTTGGCTTTCTGGCCAAAGAGTTAGGTTTGATGGTGTAGATCCACAAACAGGTCGCAAAAATTACCGAGTAGTCACCGCTCTCCAAGAGGAGACTTGTCGCAAAATGCAAGCGATCCCTAGGAACGCCCCTGGCTCCTATGTTGACTTCAAATTATCCCCAACAATCATCGCATTCAGCCGTCTGACTTTCGCTGCTGATACCGTTGAGCCCATTAACTTGAATACTGACAACTTGATGAATTTCCTTTCCATCGATTTCGCCCGCGCGTTGAAAGACTTCGCAGCAGTTTTGAATGACTTGAAACGACTTTCCGCGCTGGGTGACTTACCCCTGTCACTGCATGACCAGTCCACTTTACGGGTACGATTTCCTGGGTGTGATGCAGAGTCTGTCGAGCGCTTATGTGACGAAGTTGGCGTGCAAAGAGGGGTGATCCATCAGGACGAGGATTTCGAGATCCAGAATGGCTCTGAGATGGCACTTCTGTTCCCATTTGCGCCCAGCCACATGGGTTCGGAGCCCGAGTTTTCTGGCCGCGGTCTCGGGTATCACAAGTCCCCCGATATGCTCAACTGGCGTCATATGATGTCCTTAGAGGAACTGGACGAGCCGTCCTATTTTACCACAGGGCACGATTACCATTATGTGGGAAGTAATGAACGTAATCCGTGGTCCTCCTCTCCGACACCTTCAGGATACTCCAGCATGAATATCAGTGAGCTAGGAGATCGTGTCTTTTTCCCTGACCTGACCGAATCAGCTAATGGTGGCGGTGACCCTTCTCACTACGGCGGATTCTAAGAAATTTTCAAGTCATTGAGTGCGATCGAGCGAAGAGATGATCCACGGCTTGCACAGCTTGTTTTCTCTCTCTCTCTCTTTCTTTCTTTCTTTTTTTACTTTTTTTTTTTCTTTTCCTTTTTTGTTTTAATTTTGGTTGTTTGACAAACCCTGTTTTTCCCATTACATACTTTGGTTCCCAAGCCCTATTGTCTTTTAGCATATATATACCTGCTGTGCCAACGTTTGAAATGAACTCAATTGTATATAACTCTAATTCCCAATAAACCAGTAAACCATTAATTTTATCACTCATAATATTGTTTGCGTAAAGAATAGCATTTCCCATAGAATTTAATGAAGGGAGTTGTCGACCTCGTACCTAGGTGGTAAGTGTGCATAACACAGGTGCGTGGCGACATGTGCCCCTCTCCAAAGACGAACTTATGCAGAGATCTTCCTATTAGTTCACGAATCAATCAAAACCAGCACCTCAGAAAAAAGGGCCACTCTACATATTCCCTCATTCTCCTATTTCCCTTTCGTGTCGACTGCGTCATTCTAGGTCAATCTATAGCCAGGCTCCGGAAAATACACGACCCCAGTCGACAAGGGAGAAAAGACCCATAATCACTTCTGCACCTCTCTACTGTTTGTCAAATCGTATCCCACGACGGAATTCTGCCACTGATATCCGACAACCTTTCAAGACGAGGAGAGAGTGGGAGCGAACGGCATGGAGAATTTTAACAGTGAGACTGAGAGCGACTACACCAGTTACTGGAGAGACTGGGTGAGTTTTGTGATATTTTGTCTCCCCCGGCATGTTGTGCCTCGAGGATTGCCGAACCGTGTCATTCCCCGCCCTTTGTCAACCTCTTGGTGGCTTTTTAGGAATCTCACTTGAGGGGAGTTTTCGGAGGTACCTATGACAATTATTTGGGTCTTTAGTTCATCACAAGTGGTCCAGCTATCATCCTACATAATTTTGAATGGAACGGTTTTGAATTTTCGGTTCCTTTTAATGAAGATCAATGCTTGAGAGATGGTTGCAGAACAGGATGTCAGGGTGACTATGCGTGTTTGTACTAAAATATATTTTTTTGCTACGGAGTTGGGGGATTGATTCGCCATGCCTTGGGGTTGGAAACATTAAAATGTATTTTGGCCTCACTAACTGGTGTCTTCATTATGTCTCCAGTTTATCTCCTCCCGGGGAAACGAATACTTTTGCGAGATCGATGAAGAATACCTTACGGATCGATTCAACCTTACGGGCTTGAACAACGAGGTCCAATATTATCGATATGCGCTTGATCTAGTGACGGACGTTTTCGATCTCGATGCGGATGATGACCTCAGAGAGCAGATCGAGAAGTCGGCCCGACACCTTTACGGACTCGTTCATGCCCGGTATATTGTCACAACCAGAGGATTAGCTAAAATGGTATTTCACCTCTCTAATCGTGATAGGAAAATCTAGGTTGGATGCTAACACAGGCTGTCCGTAGCTCGAAAAATATAAGAAAGCCGACTTTGGCAAATGCCCACGGGTGCTCTGCAACCAACATCCCCTCCTCCCGATGGGCCTGTCAGACCTGCCAGGCGAGAAGTCCGTCAAGCTCTACTGCGCCAAATGCGAAGATATATACAATCCCAAATCGTCCCGACATGCCTCAATCGACGGCGCATACTTTGGCTCGTCATTTCATAGCATTCTCTTCCAAGTCTACCCCGCCCTTCTCCCAGAAAAGTCAATACGTCGATATGACCCACGAGTTTTTGGATTCCGTGTTCATGCCTGCGCAGCTCTGACGAGATGGCAAGACCGAAAACGAGATGAGATGAAAGTCCGTTTGAAGAAAAATAAGCTGGATAGTCCGTTTGTTGAGGATCGGGAGTTTGAAGAAGACGACGATGACGATATTGCTGATTCGGGAATTGGAGAGTTTGATGGAAGGGGTAAAACTCCAGTTGGTGCTGAGGGGGGAAGGATGATGATTGATAAGTGACGAATGGATATGGATATCTGATCTTGATAAGTTGATGGATCGCTGAACTGCTCTTAATGAAGGCGTTTGGGGATTGAAGGATGGCAGGGATTATTGGAGAGAAGTAACTTTCTAGCTCTAATGGGGATTTTCTTCTTCTCTTTTTCAGCTATAGGCTTTCAGCAGGGCGTTTGATGAGATTTCTCTTTTCGTGCAATCTTGTTAGATTATTTTCATATGTCAGTTATTCTTTGTTGTGGACTTTCCACACCTCTTTTTTGTCTATAAGACGGTGGATAATTGGGTTTGAGGATATGTCGTGCTCAGTTAAACTGACTGGAAGTTATTAACTATTACTGCTATAGGGCTTCAATTCGAGCCTTAAACAGGAGAGTACAGGGGGTGTTAGATAAGAATAGGGGATTGAATCATGCCAATTATGCTTTTAAGATTATATTAAAATTTAGAATGAAACGGAAACTCCAACTCCAAACATTGTTGAATCAATGCTAATTCCTCTATATTTCCCTGTTTCTCGAATGCTTCTAAGGTCGGGAGAAAAGAGTTCGGAAATCGGGAAGTCCTCGGTGGTTGTTGCCCAGCATCGAATGCGCCACAAAGGAGTTCGGCATCCCGATCTTAGTTAATTATAACTGCGGAATACTTCCCGGAATCCTCTTTCGGTTTTGAACTCTGCATTCTTTAGGCTCCGAATCACATATGGACATGTACAATCCTTTTATTTTATTTTATTTATTTTTATTTTTATTTTTATTTTTTACGAAGTTTAGCCTTCCCCCCCTTTCATCTCCCCCCTTGCATGGACTTGTGTTGGGAAAATCTTGTCAACACGAGTGCTACCGATGCTAAAGTAGCTTGGGCATGAGACTGAATATCCAGATTCTTTTTACCGCTCATATTTTAAGAAGCTCCAATGTCCTATACCACTATCCAATGAAATTGAAACTTCAAACCCTCATTCTCTGTGCTTTTGGGGTTTGTTTTTCTTCCTTTCGTCGAAAACTGCCAATTTCACGGATGGTCATAATTTAATCCTCTAGATTTGACCTGAACTTCCTCGTCGCAATTAGCTTTTCTGCTATATCCTTGAAACCTAAGTGCTATCACAGGTTGGTTTGAGTTAGAAAAGAGCATGAAGAAATAAAATGCGAGAAACTTCAGACAATGCCCTGGTGAGATCTGTCGATCGACAACATCTTGTCTACCTTAGTACGGGTTTTCATTTGAAACCTCATCCTGTGTGAATTTCATTGATAGGATATCCTTCTGGTCAAACCCAATTTTCAAGTATAAAAAGCATACTTGCAATACTCCTTCATTTATGAGACAATCGACCTGAGTGTGATCCAGGTCATAAGATATACCGTTGCGCTCGGTATGGTTATCGCTGGATATGATTTACACTCGATAGAGTTAACCTTCATATCCAGAAGCAGTTTGTCTTCATAGCGAATTCAGAACATTGACTGGGACAGCTATCCCGCATAATGGAATTCTGTTCCCTCGACATCGGACACAACTTTCCGATGTCAATTTTGTCCGATATCAAATTCAGTCCTAACTGCCTTCGCCACCGTCTCGCAACAACAGACGAGATAAATGGGGTTCAAGGAATATGTCACTTCAGGCATATGATTCGGTATCTCACTGCCTACCCTTTGAGAATTCTATGGATTACTGGCCCCCACGTAATTTGATGTCCACCTCCATTCGAAACCCTCGTATTTAGGAAGACCTGTTTTTGAACAGAAATGAAACATAGATACGAGGTTGACATCATTCCTCTGAAAACGCTGAAGGTTCGTGCCAGAATATAAATAAGCTGTTAACTATGATCTTGCTATTTCAAATCTTAAGCCTGATGCTGAGGTCCCTTCGCTACCAGTTCTCACAAGCAATCGATAATACCCATAACATCCAAAGATGCATGCTGCTAAGGTGTTTGCTTTCCTCCTATCTCATCTTGTCCTCACAAGTATGCCGTCTCCTTGAAGAAGCCCTGTCTATCCTGTTTGGCTCTCCTGCTGCTGGACGAGAACATTTCCAGGTTTCCTAGTGGAATATTTCAGCTAACATAGTCTCTTGAAACAATCCCAGATGCCCAGGGTTGCGGCGACGCCCCTGCCTGTATTGGAACGGAAACCTGTGCCACTATCACCCGCACAACACCGACACTGACAACCATAACCACCTGCGCCCCAACACCGACGTGTTTATACGTATACCGTTAGTCCTCAGATATTTTCCTACCTTGCTTCTGATGCGTTTGTTCAATCATTCTTCAGAGCGGATATTAGAGTTCTTCTTGCATAACCAAACGTGAAGGTCAGCTAACGAGCTAGTGAAGAGGGTTGTTCATCCGGAGGTGGCACCGACATATGCTGCTCGACGTACTGCGCCGCTACCAAGTGTAGACCAACGGATCCCAAGTGGCCAAATTGCCAAGAGGACCTGATGTACTGCGACTCAGATAACGAGTGCTGCTACAACAATGAATGTGTAGATCACTTCTGCCGTAAACCAGAATCCTAAGCTGGAATCCATTTGACGACGGAGACGTTCGAGCGTATGGGGTGGTTTCAGGATTCTACCTATCAACAACCCGGTTCTTTGACTTTCTGGACAGAGAGCTGAATCTCCTTAATTATCCACTCTTCCGTCGATGAGAAAAAGGCAAAAGGTTCATATGGGCGTCTTCATTTCGATCTGAATTAACGTAATGCGGAACTATATTCCCAAAGCTTCCCTAAGTTGAAATTAGAAGCTCTTTTGTTCTGTGGAAGATGAAAAGAAAATAAACCCACACCTAAATATTCGTTCTCTAATTTGCATAATTACGACACAAGCAGATGTATTTGACTGGGGCCCATGTAAAACAGCAACGTATCTTTGTAAATACATGTATGCATTGATATCGGATCCTTAGAAAGGCCTGTATCTGTATGGTGCTCACGCCTCCACATAGCCTCCTGCTGATCAGCACTTTGCTAGCATTGTTGATTGTAAGTGAAGCTCTCGCCTAACGACCGACGCAAAGATATTGGGCTACCTAGGTGAGTTACATCCACACAAAAGTCGGAGTATACTATCCAACGTAGAACCCCTTTGCATCCTGGGATTGCAATTGGATGGGATCATGGCGGGATCGGCCTTCGAGAGCCTTGGAAGCAGCCTCTAGAGCCAACTAGGCACCCAGTGTAGCTCTGCCATTTTTGTGCAAGCTGCTCAGCCAACGTCATTTTCGGTTTTGAAAACGTAATTGCAGTTACCCTTGTCCCCCAAAGGTCTCGTTCGCCTTCCCCCGTTACGTTTTTATTGGATTGTGTTCCATCCATGCTGCGGATGCAAGAGTAGTTATTCCAAGTTCATTATTCAGCCTTGTAGGTCTGACTCCGGGAATTCAACTTCGTGTTGAAATCCTTGACGAATCTTGTCAATGTTGGCTCTTTAATTAGGGCCTTCTGATGTCGTGTTTGTCAGGTTTGAATGCCCTCGCGGTTGAGGCTGGGAAGTTATCAACTTCCTCGAATTTTCTCACTCTTTTTCCTCCTATTTCCGCTGCAACTTTTCGCAGTTAAATATTTAGTTGGAATACGGATGAAAAACCCCGCATTCCAGGAGGCGGAGAAGACAGACTGGCAGGTTATTTATGCGCTTAAATATCGAAGATCTACAAACATGCTTTTGTTATATTTTGGCATGGGAGATTCCTTCTAGGGAAACAAGTCACTCTTGGGTAGATTATCAGTGGAGAAAGTCTTCATTTTGGATGGGAATTGATCTGCCTATCTATCTACTAATTAATGCTCAAAATCAAGTGATTGCCTCGTTTTGATATCAGCAAGCGCATTCTTACACGAAGGAAATGCTTTGGATTAATGGAGGAGTGGCATCGCGAACAATGGTTATTCTGGGGTGTATATAAGGTCTGCAGGGTCATTATGAATGTGAATCCGACAATTTTTCCTTTTCTTTCCTTTTTTTTTTTTTTTTTCCAGTATCACGATCTCCCAGTTGCCTCATTCCTGGCTATTATTTTCTTTACCCATCCGCAGAGATGCAAAAGTTGCTGCAGTTAGCTACAGCATTCCTCCTTGCGGGTTTCCCAACAGCCCTCTCCATCGGGAAACACCCTTCTTGTCGGTGCAAACCAGATGAATTCGTGCTGACCATCGCATGCTCAATGGAAGGCCTTGAAAGAGTCCATCCAGGGCAACCTAGTTGCCGTTAGGCCGGTTGGTAACGTCTGTCATGACCCAGCGTATGACCCCGAGGCATGCGAGAAAACAAAGGCCATTAGCCAGAATCATTTCTGGAGAGCAGAACAACCGGGAACTGTGAAGTTCACCAACTGGGATACTTGGCCTGCTTAGTCTCAAAGTTGCTATGTCGAACAGTCCCCGAGGCGTTGCTTGCGGCCAAGGCCGCATACCCTCAGATGTCCAGGAGGCGGTCTGTTTTGCACGAAAACATAAGCTTCGGTTGGCTATTGAGGCATCTGCACATGATGTTCTAGGCCGATCGCTTACAAGGCATTGTCCAAAAAGGACGTTGTCACCGTTGCAGCCTTAATGTTTGCCGACCAGAACGACAAAGCGGCCGTTCAACGCCTGCAAGGCTTGCTGGTCACTGCAGTGGAGAAAAGCGACAAGGTCAATAATCTTCACTTACACCATCGCCTCACCAAAAGCCAATGGAGTCATAAACGGGCTTCTCAATACCCCAAGGAGAAACCGACCAGACCGGCGTCCCGGTTGCAATTGGGTCCGGTTTGATATCTCCACGATTTCCTCGTTTCCCGAAATGGGCCTGCGAAGCTCTTGAAGGCCCCTCTCGAGTCTTGAAATCTGCGACGGGTACAGGCCATATCGTTGCGGGTGGGCAAGTTGCCCAAGAGTGCCGGAAAGAATGACAGTGCGCCGAATCCTGCATGGAGAAAGACACTAACGCATATCACATTTAGTTCCTCGTGGAATTCCAGCACTTCGTTTGATGAGCAGAAGGAGATATATGAGAGGATTACGAAAGTTCAAGTTCCTCTCCTCAAAGCGCTCGAGCCGGGGCAGATGGGCGCTTACATGAACGAAGCTGATTCTCATGAGGTGGATTTCCAGAAGTCCTTTTTATAAACGCCTGTATGCGATCAAAAAGAAATGGGACCCTACCGGGCTCTTTATTTCCCGTCTGGGTGTAGGGAGCGAGGACTGGGATGATGATGGACTATGTCGAGTCCATTAGAGGATATTTGATGAGGGCTCTGATATACGGCAAGTTATGGCATGCTGCCTCCTTGTCTATGATCTATTTATATCCGCTGGAATGCTAGGAGTGATCGAGATGTTCATCTTCAATTTTGATATAGCCATTTGGTTATCCGCTTCGCTCAATACTTCTAGGAGGTTTGGTATATATATGTATATGTATATATATATGTATATTGGAGTATTCCACAATCATGAAGAACTGAGATATTGCTGCGAAGTAACTATCTAAATTAATTAGTTATCTCCATTGCAGAGTTGTTGGTTTTGCTGTGTCGAAGAACAGTAGAACATGTTGTCCCCCACTTCTGACCTGCCCTTCTCCATCCAATTTAATGGACGGACGACCATAAGTCGATCAACTCCGATAGTTACATTAATAATCATTTCCGACGCACGCCAGACCCGCTGATTTCGCCGAACACCTAAATCGGGTTCTGATCAACCACAGCTCAGTATCTAGTTATCGTGAATCGGTTCAATCTATATTATTCACCCTCAGCAAGCCAGATCACTGTACAAGAGCTCCTTACCTGGCACAATGGAAATTACGCATATTGTCCTGTTTCAGTTCAAAGCTGGCGTGCCTGCCGAGTCTGTTAATGATGTATGAGTAACTGATGCTCCCGTCTACTAGTTTTATGATGTCGTTTTACCAATGCAAGAGGCTCACCGACCATGTTTGAACAGGTGTGCGCGCGAATGCTTGCATTGAAAGACAAATGTATTCATCCTACTCGACAACAACCGTATATTAAGGCCGCAAAAGGTGGAAGAGATAACTCAACTGAAGGGTTGCAAGTATGCGGAGACATCTCTCATATTATAAGGACATACATATTATACGCATATTCATAGTTATCCCCCACGTCCTTGTATTTCGTTCTTGAAAATTGGAATTGACAGAGGTCGATCCTAGGACGGAATTACCCACGCCTTTGTTGTCGAGTTCGAGAACGACGAAGATCGAGATTACTACGCGAAGAATGATCCTGCCCACCTGGGGTTTGTGGGCAGTCTGGGTGAAGTTGTTGAGAAAATTCGAGTTGTTGATTTTGCCGACGGAGTGTTCTGAACGGGATGTATGGCTACTTTTCTCTCAGTTTATTCCGTTTGTACACCACCTTCAGGATGGGCTGAGACAGTCTGAATAAATCGCAAGGGCGCATGATTGAGGCTCAATGCCAGTCATACCGATGTCCCTTATGATTTCAGGGCGCTCAAGGCCACTCGGAACCTGGTGATCCAGCTATTTTGATGATACAAGGAATGCGATGTTCAATTTTAAACCATCTCGTAGTGTGATCAATCCATCAATCAAGACTCATTCAGCAGGAAGGGTTTCCATTACAGTCGGGGGTTGAGAACCGCGAAAATTTTGAAATCCCTGACGGTCAAATCCACCCACGAGCGGTAACACGGCATATTTTATATATTTCATTGGTTGGGGGGGAGTAGACGGTTTAGTGTGCACAACGGACCAGGGACTTTTGAAGTCAAAATAAACACCGTATTGATACGGTTGGCAACAGTTATGCAAAGGTGCAACAATTATAACTCTATTTCAAAACAGTCTCCTGGGGCTGGCCATCGCGATATCGGATGAGAAGGAAGAAATTCAAGAGAAGTTTCCGTTGTTAGATTCGGCCTCCCTCGAGACGAAGAGAATGACTTGTTCATCGCCCTTCTCTTGGCAAGTCGGGAACGGGAACATGGCGTCTCCGAGACCGAGGGCACGAGGACCTGAAGCAACATCCAAGGCACACCCTCCCTTGTGAAATACCACGAATCAGAGATCCACGAGCGCTTCCTCAATCAGATAATTTCCAAGTTGGAATAAAGCTTCTAGATAACTTCCTTTTTGCTTATACGATATTGTTGCACGGTCTGTTCTTGTGATTGGGCCGATCCTCCCATAAGGTGATATTCATAAACGGCCCTACAACTGGCACCTGCAGGTCGTCCGCCAGCCATGCGGCAAGAAAGAATGTAACCTCAGAACTGTGGCGGACGACAACATCGAGGCAATAAAGCATTGGTTCACCGAGCCCTTTACCTCTGTTGTTATCTAGAGTTCAAATATGTTCGTTTCATTTTCCAGAAACGAGAAATTTCCTCTTTTGTCTGTCAATAACAACCTCCACAAGAGAGAGATAAATACAGTTTCTTGAATCGAACTCATGGCGATGTATGGTAACACATCTCCGTGTTCACTTCATGTAATAAGGAAACATGGAATAAGCGGAGCGTGACTTTGAAAAAAAAAAAAAAAAAAAAAAAAAAACCAATATATCAGCTTTGTTCAAGTAGTTACTGTCCTGTATGATGGGGAGGGAGAAAATATCCCCACTGATCGGTGCCGAAAAAACGAACAACATCATCCATGCAAAATGAATCATATGAATCATCATGATTCATACGGTGTGCAGAGAGGGGTCCTCAATCTCATCTCTGTTGACGTTGGTTCTAGCCAGGTTTTGCGACACGGCGCCTAAAATAGCAGCAACTCGATCTCAAGCACCGCCTTATCGTGAGGCTTGAATATTTGAACGCTCCTCCGCCGTCCACGCGTTGTACCAGGACTTGAACAACTTTATTTTTCGTCCTCGTATCTCGACAAACCCAAACCAGCAAAGCTGCAGGGCTGGATGCTCCTCCGGCTCATGTTTCCCTGATCTGGGGGAACATTTTCTTGGCAGCCAATCTGGAGCATCTGCCGCTCAGCCTCTCCCGACTTGCTGCTATTGGGTCAACCAACTACTTGCGCGGGTCAACATGGCCATCGAAAATCATGCTGGTTAATCACGCCCTTTGGTTGCTGCCTTAGACAAGCGTCCGCAGCGCCATCGCCATCGCAAGCACCAGCACCATCCCGATCTACCCCTGAGGAGAAAGATCGGCGCGCCAATCTTTCATCGTCTGAGAAAATCAGAGATAACCGAGAATGCTTGGTCCCAATCTCACCGCTGGACAAGGAAAGTACTGTACATTATGTACCATTGAGGTCACTCATGTTCATATCTCGTCAAATCCAAGCTTCGTGCAACTTCTTTTACCATAATTAGAAATCGTTTCGTAACTTTAACCGCCAGATTACGGGGCTGAGGAAACTCGAAATGAAATTCGAAATCGCCCCCCCCCCCCCCCCCCCTCCCCCGATTCATATATGGGTGCTTCTCTCCACATAGGATGAAACCTCCTCTAACGCATTGCCAAGCTATTTGTCGACTTTGGGTGTTTTGTGGATGCGCAAAAATAGTCCATTTATCATCTAAACTTCTCATATTTGTTTACGTGTGATATTCGGGCTGTACTACAACGCGATTTTCGGGATGAGCGTTGCAAAGGGACCTGAATCCTCCCCATCCCGGCTGGCATCTGGGTTGTTGCCCCAGTGCCATACTTGCCGCAAGCGAAGGGTCAGATGTGACTCAACACGCCCTGCTTGTCATAAGTGCATTGCAAAAGGTGTCCAGTGTCTGGGATATGGAAGACAAAAGCCCCTTGTCTGGCTCCACGGAGGGGGCAACCAGAACCAATATCTGGTCGGGGGAACTCAGTCTGTTCCAAAAAGGAGAAAGAAGGGGAGACCGAAGATTATCATTGCGAAGGAGGACGTTGAGGAACCGAAGAAGTCTCCCGAAGGAGTGAAAATTAACACATCTGAAGTGTCAGACCTCGTGCAAGCCGCTTCCGGTACGCTTATCTTCATGCTTACTCACCGGGAAATCCTCATCTCACTAGCACTGAAGTTGAACTTTAAGCACTGACGTCTGTTTGGGTATCTAGATATTCCAAGATATTTAGACAAGTTCGATCCCCTCCGCGCCCCGGAAACTCTGGATTTTAATTACCCCTTGGACATTAAAGTGGTCGTCAGCACCATCTGGTACTGTAAGTTTCGAAAACGCTTTTGCCCAACCCTGAATTGAACATTTAATCACTGACTTTAAAAATTAGTCAACAAGTATATTTATCCCGAAGTCGATCCGATAGTTTACTATAAAGATCTTCCCACCATTGACCCTAAGAGCTGGCAAGATGATATCTCCAATATGCTTTTCCAGATACTTGTCTCCGTTGTTGCGACACACAGAGCTGTGAAGTCGCAAACGGACGAAAAAGTGTCCCTAGGCCATGAAATCTACCAGTACAAGCAGCAGGCCTTTCGTCGACTGAGTTTCGAGCTTGGAAATCCTGCCACTCAGTTGGGGGATTTGACGCTGGTTTGTGTATTGACCCTGTTATTAGCAGAGGTAGGCGTACTCCGTTAACTCTCGAGAAGCAAAGCATAGGTTGCTAAATTTCCTTCCTAGACCCAGCAGTCAGCGTATGGCGAATGGCTGGCCCATTTCGAAGGCGCAACAAAGATCATCGAGTTGAAAGGGGGTGTCAAATTCACCCTAGACCGGTGTCCCCAAATAAAGAGTTCTTTGACATGCTACTTGCTGTACGTATCTTGTCAATCAACTTAACTTGCGTTATTGCCCAAAGTCTGAAAATATCTTTTAAAATTTCCTCTTGGGTCTTCATCTAATACCTTTCTCCTTAGGGCGGATGTCTTGGGTGCTACCACCTCCCGAAATGTGTTATCCATGTCAGATGCGTCTAGACAACTAGGGTACTCAAAAGATCTACCCCACATTTTCTGCAACGGCTCAGAGTCGTTTGTCCCCTGTCCAAATGAGCTCTTTGACTATATTATCCGAATCAACTATTTCCGCGCCCTGTCCGCCCACGCCGTCGGCACAAACAACATGATGATAGATTTTGCCAACATACAAATGTTACTGCAGAACATTCTCTCCTTCTCCGCACCCAACTGGGCGGACGGCATGGTACAGAACTATGCCAACACTGCAGTTATTCCCCACCGGAAAACCACAGGTGATTTTATTATTCGCCCTGATCGAGACATCTGGTTACAAATAGCAACTATTTACCAAGCCGCAATCCTTCTCTATTGCATACGTTCTCTTGCTTTGGATTTTCAAGGCCTCATTCTCGCGTCCTACTCTTCGGATACAGCAGCGGATATGATCTCGTATGTCACGGTTCAAGATATCCAGATCGTGGCGAGACAGACACTTTCGGACCATTTAGGTAAAATCTTCGCTCCCGGATCTGACCTACTCCGTCAATCCTTGGCTCGGGTTGTTACTTGGCCCCTGTTTATCGCCGGGGTCGAAGCTGGAGATCATTTTGAAGATGCAACAGCTCTGAGGAAACTCGTGCTTAGTGCATTCGGCAGACTAAGCAGAGCATTGGGCACTTTGCATTTTCGAGATGCAAGGGCCTTTCTGGAAAATGAGTACCGTCGTCGGGATAGCATAAGTATTGCTGGAAATCCCGATTATCGCTGCTGGTGGGATGATGTTTTTGAACAATTGCCAGATAGATGTGCTTTTTTTGTATAGCGGAGCGGATGGAAATATATATGTCATAGTGCGTTCTTTATATTTGTTAGGTGCTTTTCGTGACATGTGGATTTTCGATTTCTGTTCATAGATCGCCATGATGATTTGTCAATAACGTTAGAGTGTAGAACCTCTATTCATGACTCCTACCACAACCTATCAGAAAGAGAGAGAACGATACAAAACTTTCAGAATATATTACCACCAGTAATTCCCATCCCGAACTGTATTGGTAGCACAATGAACTTCACCGCCCCAAGTATGATGAGAGTTCCAATCGTCCACAAACCCGACATTGAAACCTAACCCACCATATACCTTCAACACCGCATCTGCCATGATATCGACGCCACCTATAACTGGGCCCCAGGGGTTCGGTGCCAGGTATTGTGTATCGCTCAGCACCAACCCGTTGATCGTAGCAGGATAAAGAGACGCAGCCAACTCAGAGCTACCATTTCTTTTAGGATCGACTCCTACATTCGGTGGATAGGTGAGGCTAGTACGAAACACTGCGGGTACAGCATATATGTCTACGTCTTTAATACCCGTTTCACGTTTGAGAAGGTCAATGTTAGTCTTGATACGTTTGGAAAATCTGGCGTTCGCTTCTACCGTATGGTTTTGGGAAAGTAGGTCATTGATCGTATAACTTGGTACACCGCGGAGGCCCCCGGGGAGCCCAAACAGATCATGTGGATTTCCTTCTGTGTCATTCTGGCGGGAAAATGCGCGAACACTGCCGTGCCCAGCCGATTGAGCTCGTCGCAAGAGATTAAGGCCTTCCTGCGGATCTGGGAACAGCATAACCCACCCCAAAGAATTATTGGAAGGAAGGAATTGAATAAACTCGTCAACATGTCCAATCGCAAGCCAGTCAGTGTCTAGTAGTAGCGGGTCTTGAACCTCTTGTGCCTGTAGGTATTCTAGGATATGTGGCTTCTTGAGTCCGTGTGTCCCGAGAATGATGCGACCAGCAGGGTATCTTTTGCCGTTAAAAGTGTAAGGTGGGATAGTTTCTAAATTCCCCATCGAGTTGATTTCGTCACGCGCTCCTCCAGGGTGCTGGACCGCTCCAGTTTCTGGCCCTCGTAGGTACTCGAATACTTGCCGCCCAGCAATGCGGCCATCTTGCGCGGAGCGTATCATGATTTGCAGTACAATCGGCCCATCAGGACCTGGCATGCTGGTATACCCTGGCTCGAAGAAATCTTGCGCCCAAATGTCATCAGATGCATTAAACTGGAAAAGTGGAATCTTGATGTCCATTTTGGCGAGAGCTCCTTCAAGAGCAGATACGAATCTGCCTTGGAAAAAGTTGCCAGTATTATTTCCAGCAGTGGTGATAATCTGTCGGACTGATTCGGAGTGATTGTGAGTTAAGATAGGTGCAACCCGTAATTTCACGCTATCCACTGACGTCTTCCCTTTGTCGTGAACAGTATATCGGATGGTTACTCTTCCGTCCCATTCACCTGGCCGCCTGGTATTCCTACCATCTATCCCTAGTTCTAGACCTTTTCCAAGTTGACTTGGTGGGAATCTGTGACCTGCTGGCGTGATTAACCATTGCGATCCCTCACGACGGAATACGCGAACATTTTTGCGTGCCTCTGCGTTAGTAATAGCAACAGTTCCATAAGCTTTTCGACTTAAGCTAGGAATGGGAACGGTGCGAAGAGGCGCCATAAAACGAGGAGATCGCTGAAGGTCGTTTGACGCATCATTACAAGCTGCAAGTTCCTCGTTGGACGGAGGACTGCCTTGCAGTGCTGATTTGGAACATCGCCGATCCGTGTCGCCGATATTCGCAAGGAATATCGCCCCGGCATTGTTCGAAGTGCTCAATTTATGGGTTAGGTCTGTATTTCCGACTAGATCAACCATGCCGTCACGATTGCTATCGGCTCGGATATCAGCTCGAAAACCAAACACGATGAAACAATATAAGACTATCATGCGTTAGCAGACTGGGTATGACCAAACAAAATATTACTCTATACCGACAGTCCTTACTCACCAAGTATATGAAATAAAGGAAGCAAACAATGCATTTTGTGGAATCGTCCCTTTTGGCCAAAAATCAAGGTGGGTAAAACGACAGTAAACAGCAGATAATACCAAAAGAGAATGAGGTGAAATTTATCTATCGTCATCACTCAAACGGATTCCTCCTTTTATATCTGCTCAATCAAACCGCCTGAAATACTAACCAAAATAGGCCAATACCGTGCAATTCGAGAACTGCGGATACCAAATGGGTAACACATTATAGCCCTTGAATTGAAGTGGACGATTTTCCAAATAATTGCACAAACGAATAATAAATTGAGAAGGTTGCCATAAGTCGTCTCATGGGTGAATATCTAACAGCTATGCAACCACTGTTGATGGGCTGGGATACGGAGACGTTCTATGAAAGACACGTATTGGAGGTAGACGTACTCCAGTCATCCTGCTAAGGAGTGCTCGGACTGGAGTAAATAGTGTCTGCAGACTGTAAATGTATGTACTATTGTGGTAATTATCAAATCGCCGCGAGGGACAATACGAGCTCAACATCAGAGTATTTCGATATGTCGGAAAGGAAGAAGCAGTGAAAGGCCCACAATTGGAGGTAGCTTGGCGTTCTACCGTGGCGATCCATATAGTTAAGGCTTCAATAAACACTGGCACATCCTAGAGGTCGATCCCCAAGCCACGGCTCGAGAAGGTTGCTTTCGATCACATTGGCGAAGATATTTTGGAAGAGTTATTGGGAACTTCCGAACTTTGGAACGTGCTCTCAGCACCAAGCGAAAGTGGTTAGTGGGGCAGAAAAGAGGAGTCAAGTCGTTTTGGGATATTGATTATAGAATTGTCGTTCTTGTTATGCATTAGAATGGAGGTTGCATGATGGATTTGCTGCTGGTCCGAGTCACTGCTATTTCTATGAGTGCACAGCTTTTTGGCATAATTTTCCTAATGACTTTCTCTGGGTAAAACTATGAAAATAGCTTCCGGCTAAGCCCCCATGTTTGAGAACGGAAACATCACTCTTGCTCCAATCTCGCTAGCTCACCGATCGTCTCGGCAATAACTCGAGCCAGTTCATCCCCTTTACTCCAGACTTCATCATGACCCTCTTTCAGGTCATCTAGGAGAAGTACGCCCTTCTTTCGTTCTTGGGTATTCGCTTCTCTCCACCTCTCCACTACTTCCGCCATAGCTCTGAACTGGCCCATGTCAGTCAGTTCATCAGCCGTGGAATGAGCTAGCACTGCCAGCCTGCCGTTTTGCCACCCGCCTTCAATACCAGCTTGCCCTGCAGCCTTTGCAGGCGAAACTCCATCCCAAACGTCTTCGGAAGTGCCAAACGTAGCCTCGATAAACTCCTGGTAAATGGGACACTCTGCAAAAGTATCGCGGAGCGCACAAAGATCATAGATCCCTTCCACTCCCACTACCGATATGGGACGTGCAATTTTTTCTGGAATATTGTCGCTATTTTCAGGTCCCATTTTCGGTACTTTCCCCATCACAGTTTGAAAAGCAAGAGTGGCGCCGCAACTGTGTCCTACTAGAATGTACCTTTCCCCAAATCCGTACTTATCCTGTAAATAAACAATTGCACGCTGCACGTCATTGAGGTGATCAGGGTGAGCTGCATTACGCAAATGGGTTGGTTCTGTCGTACTGGGATCCTGGGGAAAATTAGGATGCGCGGTCAAACGATAGTTGATTGATGCGAAAGCGGCGACTGAACGCAAAGTTCCGGGGCCGTATTTGGAAACAAGTGATTGCAGCGTCGGTTGAATCGAGGTGGACGTAATCTCCGGATCACGCCATGCGCCACCGTGGATGAAACTTTGTCAAATTGTATGAGTGAAGAACATTGGAGAGAGATGTGACATAATGGTGCTTGGTGTAAAAGACTCGCAGCATACATTATCCAGACACTTGACAAATAATTAGTCTTCGCAAGGAGCCGTGGAAAATATAAGGTGATATCCTGCAGGGAACTCTCTTGCCCATATCGATGGTGTTCACAGTGAAAATGTACGTCGAGAGGGGATGTCATTGAGAGTGGCTTTTATATTATCTTTGGAAAACCAGCAGATGATTGCTCTATATCTCCTAATAGTAGCAGTCTTTCATCGAATTCCAATGATGTTGATTAGAGTTTGATAACGACCAAAGAGCCGCATCTTAGTCAAGTATATGCGCTAGTCCTAATCAGGTCCTAGCGGCACCGAAATTATCTGCTCTTGTCGGAAACGCACACAAACAACCAAGCGCGAGAGAGATATTCACACCGTATCACCGCATCACCTCATTCTACGCTTTAACTATTAACAGATATCTGTCACTGTCGTAAATATGGCTGAGTACTTACATATCTCTTGCCCTTTGCGTTGATTTTTGCTGACTGGTTGCAGGAAAGATGTATCCCTGAAGGCCGTCCAGGTGGAGGCACTGGTAAGAAATTTCAATGTTGAGATACTGGCCATGAGTCACGAATATGACACTTACCGATAGTTCAGGTGGTGATGAAAATCATTAAACATAGCTCCCAAGCCTTCCCTACTACTGCGACCGGATCACTTGTCGGTATGGATGAGCGAGGTACTCTACAGGTCACCAACTGCTTCCCCTTCCCGGTTGTCGATATCCCAACCGATTCCCATTTCGATAACTCTTCGCAAAATCCGGCTGCTGTTGCTCCACGTGCAAAGGCGAATACTATTTATCAGGGTGAGATGATCAAAATGCTTCGAGAGGTGAACATTGACGCCAATAACGTCGGATGGTACACGAGTGCGAACATGGGGAATTTTGTCAATCTGAACGTCATCGAGAACCAGTATTATTATCAAAAGGAATTGAATGAGCGAACGGTGGCTTTGGTTCACGATATCAGCCGTAGTTCTCAAGGAGCCTTGGCTCTGAGGGCTTTCAGACTCTCTCCTCAGTTTATGGCGGCCTTCAAAGAAAATAAATTCACCAGCGAACAGTATGATATTGCCCTTGCCATTTGCCTCAAGTTCACGATTAGTATCTGGGCAAGCTAATACTTACTCCAACCATCGCAGGCTCCAAAAATCCAACCTTCGATATCAAGATATCTTCGTCGAACTTCCCGTTCAAATTCACAGCTCCCACCTTCTAACCACTTATCTCCATCAACTTCCAACTCCAACCCCTTCAGAGCCTTTGGATTTCCCGCCCTCCCTTGACGCATTGGTCAATGGGCCCTACGCTTCATCCTCACTATTAGCACCCAACTATGACAGTCTTTCCCTGAGCATCGACCCCTACTTGGAAAAGAACTGCGACCTTCTCCTAGAAAGTATCGAAACTCACCATACCGAAAGCAACAACTTCCAATTCTACCAAAGGTCGCTTGCCCGCGAGCAAGCTAAAATCGCCCAATGGCAGGCTAAGCGTAAAGCCGAGAATGCCACCCGTACCCAACTGAAGCAACCCCTTCTGCCGGAGGATGAATGGCAACGACTCTTCAAACTCCCCCAAGAGCCCAGCAGATTAGAGACTTTGCTAAATACCCGACAAGTGGAGCAGTACTCGCGGCAAATTGACAGTTTTGTGGCTGCGACAACGGGGAAGATGTTTGCCGTCAAAGGTAATTTGCTCCCTGGTGAATCCCAGGTATAACATTCCAGAAATCGTTCCTAAACTACTTGTTCATCTTTTGATATGAGGAGCTTTCTTTAACATGAGCGATATCTCCTTTTTCGTGAATTCAGAACAAGGAAATGCGTTTGTGGGCCTTGAATTGCATGATTGTTTGGCGTAGCGGTGGGAATTTCTATGTTATATCTGTTTTTCAGTCTCTCTTCTTGAAATGGCTATTTATGACGTTCTGTTCCCGCTTTTATGTTTGCTTGTATTTTCTTTTATACCGATGCCTTGTACTCGGCAATCTGTTACTACAACATCGAAAGAGAATGAATAGAGTATTCTGGTGATGTTCTCAAAATTGAAATGCAGCAACTTTTAAACAATTCAATACGTTTAATTATTTAGACAATGAGGTACATTCAGAGCACTAAGCAGAGACTCACAACTTGCCCGCCAATTACCAATTGCCCCACCAACCTAGTGCATGCCCATTGAGTGCGAACCCTGACCCACTAGCCGACTGCAGAACTAGTGAGTAATAATGCAAATGAAGAAATGTAGTCACATCCCAAACCAAGAAGTATACCAGAGAATTGAATTCAAATAATACGAGAGTGAGTTAAGAGAAATGAGTGAACACCTAAGTATCCCAGATATGTACGGGAATAGATGCACATAACAAAATACACAAAACAATGGAACTATGATAAAAACACGAGTTAAAGAGATGAGGGGCATAATGTCATATATATACGCGGGTAAAATGGATGGAAAGGGGTATTTTGTGAAAGAGCATGAATAACAAACCAAGAAAATAACGTCAAGAGGAATGGAAAACTAGCATGGATAGATTCAAAAAAGGGTCAAATAATTGACTGACCGCACCGCATAGCAGGACTGAGACGCAGAGTGGGAATCTCCAAAAAGAAAACAACAATGAATTGGTGGGGGGGAAACAATAAAGCAATCAAAATAATTAAACCAGCGCCAAACGGCGCTCCAAAAATTTCATGATACATGAAGCAAAACATCCCGACTGGTAATAGCTTAGATCCAAGTTTGGCTCCAAGGACGCCAGCCAAGATGCTGCATTGCCCGAACTCGTCCTGCGAGTGAATGTATGACGAATCGTTAAGAAGAATTCGCAAAGCCAAAAGAGAAGAGTTCCAATAAAATCAGATCTAAACAGGAGGAATTCATTGAATCCAATTCGAGTCGTGCACTGGGAGCTCAACTACAAATTGGTAATTTTCTTAAACCAACTGGATCGTTTCGAAGTCCCATTGCCATATGACAAAGGGCGGTGGTGGTCGGAGGCATAGCGATCACCGTAACGATCACCGTGCCGATCGCCTTCGCCACTGCCTTCGCTGCTCTTGAGCGGGTCGCGAACTGAATGCGGAAGCTCTCGATGTCTAGCTCGTCTATCTGCAAGTTCGGCATCATCGAGGCCATTGTACTTGGAATGTCGTCGCGCCTTGCGTCGGGTTGCTCGCCTGGCTTCGTCTTCGGATGATAGGGAGTGGACGTGAGGGTCTCCTGCGGGAGCAGGAATGTCGATGACAGTGGGAACAATGGGAGGCACTTCTGGAGGGTTAGTTAACTGAGAATTTAACCATGATGACGTTTTCTCCTTCCCGCTACCCGCGAGACCAGGATACGGTACGGTAGAAGCACGATGCAATGGGCGGACATTGCTAGAAGGGTAATACTCTTCTCCAGGTATGGCAGAAGACTTCCGCCGTCGAGATTTGGCAGTTTCGTCACCAGAACGATGGGAGCGATGGCGACGATGATCCATGCCATATTCATTGTAAGAATATTTGTCTCGAGGTTTCTCCATATGTGATCTACGGCGTTCAAATCGTATCCTTCTGCTCTCTTCTTCGAGTTCCTCTGCTTGTTTTGCACGACGTTTTGCCTCCATTCCTCTGCGTTCTTCCTCGCGTTGTTGTTCCTCTAATTCCAGCGCTGCTCGACGAGCTCTCTTCTCCTCGCGACGTCGTTGTTCTCGTTCTTCGTCTTCTCTTGCTTGTCTTTCCCATGCTTCGTGACTCCTCGCCCGCTCAGCTTCCCGTCTCTTTGCACGCCGTTCTTCGGCGTCTCTGTCTACAGCTTCTCGCGCCTCTTGTTCCGCATGCTTTGACAAACGCCGAGTTCTTCGTTCAGCTTTTCTGGCTTCCGCGTCTTCCGCTTCCGTTGTGGGAGCTGCATCAGTTGTAAACCCTTCACCATCTGTCTCTACCTTAGTTGATCTTCGTTTTTCTCGTCGAGGACGACGGGTCTCTTCCTTGTCAGTTTCAGCAGCTCTCAAATCTTCGTCTCGACTATATCGTGGCCGTGAATAGTCTGGTCGCGTCGCCGGCTTGCGAAATGAGCCAAATAACCCTAAAAAACCCTCGGGTTTTTTGGGAGTAATGGTGTTTGATCGCTTCAACGGTGAACGTTCCTTAGGCGTGCCAATGACGAAGGCCAAATCCTCCGGGCCAGAAACTACGTCAGGACGGCCAGAAGAGTCTGGCTCAACCATGACAATATCATCATCTGCATTTTTTGGTTTTGGCTTTTTGATTCGTAGTATATTAGCATAATTAATCGAAGCGCACGAACAGGCATCGGAAAAATACACGAGAGACTCAAATTCCTCACCTCATGTTTGGATTTATGTCGACGAAGTTTCGAGTCCTTTGACGTTTCTTTTGGTGAAATCGCTGCAGGTTCGTCGCCTCCGTTGACCATAACCAAGTAATCATCGTCATCAATAGCGTATGGATCAGGAACTTCTATAATATCTGATATTAGAAAGTGTGCACGTGGGGTGAGCAGCGTATTCGAATAAATGCACAACTTACTTGAGAGGCGCTTTTTGCCCTTGAGTTCGCTTCTTGGAGTCTTCACGCCGTTCACACCCATAAGCTTTGCAGCCTTCCCCGAAATTTCCGCATGATTGTCATTCGGAGAAAGTATTCCTGAGTCATCGATGTCAACTGAAGGACGTCTAGAGATAGGCCTCGAAACTGAGGCTCCATTTCGTTTGATTGACTTGGTTCTGGCAGGCGGCGCACCCCCCATCATAAAATTAGGAAAATTCATTCCTCTGCTGTGTCGTGAAGGGCGAACAGTAGCAGATGTGTGTTTCTCCTTGTCAGAAACAGATGACTTTTCAACATCCTTTTCTCCAACCATAGGCTTATCCCTTTTCGAAGCAGTAGATTTCGACCTAGCCAAAGTGGGAGGCATCGTTTCCTTTGCCTTTTTCATGGTATGGGGAGAAGAATTGGCCTCTTCTTTTGGCTTGGTTTCTTTTTTTACAGGTCTCTTGGGTGCAGCACCCCAGAACCCCCATGAAGAAGCCCCAGCGGTACGTTCAACGCGCGCACGCTCCTTTTTAACAGGTTTGGATGTGGCACGACTCGGAGTAGCTTCAGAATCTTTGCTTTCATCAGGAGCCGTGGCTGGAGGTGGGGGAGGAGGGGGAGGGGTCACCATTTTATCGGTCGAAACCTTGGTGGCCGTAGAAGGCTTTGTACCCGCCTTTGGAGCTTTGACAGGCTGTGATTTCACAGGTCCTGGCGCAGGAGCAGGAGCCAAATCGATGATATCAATTAAATCATCGTCAAATGCGCCGGGAAAGCTGCCTGGAACGGAGTCGCGTGGAGTACTGGATTCGTCGAGAAGCGTGGCAGTAGTGGCCGCAAAAGCACCCTTTTTCTTTGACGTGGACTTACTTGGCACCGTTGTTGCTTTTCTTTTTGATGAAACTGATGCCCTTTTTGATGGGAGAGGATCATACGCGACTGGCTCTACGATCGGTTTGAGGTCAGGTGGGGAAGCTGGCTGCTGGGGAACACCAGTTTGCGCAGGGACCCTTTCTTTCTCTTCGAGTTTCTCCTTTTCCTTAGCTGCCTCTTTTTCGCGCTTTTTACTTTGCTCAAGTAACCTAATCCGCTCTGCGACGGAAGTTTTGCCAGTAACCTTGGTGCCAGCCGTGAGTGTCGTCGTGGTTGTCTTTGGTGGCGCGCTTGGCGCGCTTGCTTTGTCAGCTGTGGTCGCGCTAGTCGCTTCGAGCTCGCCTGCGTGAACATCAATAACTAGATCGTCAAGCGCAGATTTGTTATTTTTCTTTGCGCTTTTTTTACTGCCGTCCGTGTTAGATTTATCCTTGGCCATTTCTACTACTGTTTTAATCCCTTCCTCAGTTATTTGCGGGCTTTTAGACTTGCTGGGAGTGGAAGCTGGAGCAGCACCAAAACTTCCCCAGAAACTTTTAACTCCCTTGGCTGTATCGCAGTCTACAGCAGGTTCTTCCATCTTCTTGGGCTCGTCAGTGATATCCACAACCTCAAGGCCTCTGGATTTAGGCTTGCTTGATTTACCGTTCTCAACTTTGGATAATTTCGACGTGGTTGTAGTTGTGCGAGAGATTGATGGTTTCTTTGCTTTCGTGATCTTGGATCCAGAACCAGTGAATGCGCCCCACGCATCATTGCCATCAACGTCAACTGCAATCATTTCAGGGTCAAGTTCTTGAGCTGGAGGTGTGGGTGCCGGTGGGGGAGGTTCGTTGGCATCTTTTCCTATTTTTCCCTTCTTTTTATCTGCGGGTATTCCCCACCATGAGTTGTCATCCAGACCGGGAGACCTGACAAGATCCGTAGAGACAACATCTGCAGCGCTGTTATCTTTGGATTCATCAGAGGGGGCCACAGTAGCAGGCTTCTTCTTGGCTTCCATTTCCTTCTTTTGCCTGTCTTTCGCAGACAGCCCTGCCCAGGGATCCAGTTCTTCAACCTTAGGAAATGGTCCAGGCTCCGGTTCTAAAAATTTGTTCTTTTTACCCTTTATATCCTTGGCACTCTTTGACAATCCCCAGAATGCCCAGCTATCGGCAGCTAGAGGTTCAGGCGCCTCCGAAGTGGGTGGGGGAGGGGGTGGGGGTGGGGGTGGGGGTGGGGGAGGTTCTTCGGGCACCTTCGTCATGGAAGCTCCCTTTTTCTTGATTTTTCTACCGGTTGGGGTAGTATCAGCCCAAC